TGCTGTGTTGGTGGAGGCCCAACTGCTTGGGAGAGCAAGAAGCAGGTTGACCAAGCTTTGAGCTCGGTGGAGTCCGAGTACATGGCACTCTTCCGTGCCGTACGGGAGATTGTGTGGCAGCGGCGTTTGTTGGCTGAATTGGGGGAGGAGCAGCAAGGACCTACCCCACTATACTGTGACAGCCAGGGTGCCATTGCTCTTGCTAAGAACCCTGTGTTGCATGGACTCACGAAGCACATGAGGGTGAAGTGGCATTGGACGAGGAGCATGGTAACCGCGGGTGAAGTTGAGTTGCGCTACGTGAAGACCACGGGGCAGCCGGCTGACATGATGACCAAGAGGCTGGTGGAGCAGCAGCATTGGAAGTGTTGCAAGCTGGCTGGGATGGCTCTGAACTGAGAGAGCAACATATCCTAAGGCCAACAATCCGAGGGGGAGTTTGTTGGTGCAACCCTACGGTTTGCACTCGGCTTGTTGTCCGTGTGCGTGAATGTGTGTGTGTATGGAATGGTATGAGGGCATGGGATAATATATATTTCATGCTTATAATTGTGTGTGAATGTTGAGTCATGATGTCGAGTGTGTGTGTCGAGTCAATAGCGAGTTATCGCTAGACGCGTGTTACGCGGTCGTTTGTGTCTCGCGCGCGGTTTCTATTTTGTCGTGCGCGGTTTCTATTTTGTCCTGTGTCGAACGTTCGGCGTGTCACAGGTGTGTGCAGCAGACCCATCAAGAACTCAAGGATGAGTTTGTGATGAAGAGCCCGAGCCTTGGTGACAAGCCTCAAGTGATTTCGAAGCTCGCCAAAAGGGTACACCTCAAGATATTGAAGATAGTTACATTACTTTGTGTAGTGTAACATTTCACTTGGTGTAGGCCCTAGTGAAGGGTAGTTTCGAGACCCTTCGTGGTTGGGGACAGTGTGGCACTGTTCCACATCACTGTACCTTGGCTCTTGGGGTTTGTAGGAGCTGGGAGTCATTCCCAACTCGTAACTCTTCCTATCTTGTGTTCTAAGACTATAGTGGCTGCCATAGTACCGTTCGTTCAAACCGACGCTGTGTCGTCAATTCTTTATCAAATCGTGCAATCTAAATTGATAATTGTAGACGACGTGAAGACGCTCCAGATCCAATTTGAATCAAGTCATTTGCAGCTGTGAGCAGAACGCTATCAACGTTTGAAGCCGCTGTGCAGAAATCCGTCTGTGCTCTCTATCTTTCGTTTTAGGCACATTCAAGCCTATTGTGACTATAACAATTTCCCCCGCAGATGCCGCGCCTTCCGCGCGTGCGATGTCCCCCGTCCGTTAGCAGCCGGGTCCACCCATAATTGCGGAACGGAACGTGCTATAACGAGTATAAGGAGTAACGCGTTGACAGCTAGCAACATGTCGTGAAACCAGTCCATGCCGTGCGTGCTCATTTGGCTTCTGCTCCCCTGATCGTTTGAAGAACCTCCCGACTTTGTAGTCACAAACGGGGACAGAGGATTCGATATTAGGCGAATGATGGGAGAGTACACGCCAATGAAGAAAGAACATATCGATGAGGAAGAGCCTCTCAAGCTGGGAACGCGGGAGATGGTATCGGCTGGTGCTTTCGGCTCCTGTGGAACCTCACAAGTCGACGACGAAAGGCCTCTCGAGCTAGGAACGTGCAAGATAACATCGGCTGGAGGTTTCAACTTCTGAGGAGCCTCAGAATTCGACGAGGCCGGTGGTGGTTTCAGGCCGACAAGACTGTCGTTCGCGTCGGCTTCTGAGAGTCTGTCCATGGATCTCGACGCCGAGCCGTTTCGTTCCGTCGACGGATTCGTCCGCTTTCCGTCAACGTTCCGTCAGCACTGTCGTTTCGGCTAAATAGAGAGTGAGAGAATGTATACCTGATAAGAAATAGCAAGTGCTTTAGTTGAATTCTAGGAGGAAACGCAATCTTAAGATGATGGTATTTAAGGCTGCTTGCAAACGGGGGAGGGCGAGCGAGTTGTTCCACAGCGACCTACATAAACTGACACGAGATACTGGGAACGACACCAGGAAGCGCAACTGGAGATAGATAGACGGCAAGCCGCGTTGCCTGTAATCAGTCGCGCCCCGGCACTTATGAACTTAGACGCTCAGAAGCTACCTATGTACAGGGCTGCACGAGCCAGGATCTTCGAAAGACCTGCTATGACTGAAACGCGTGGCCAACTGTTGTCGAGTAGCTAGTACGCAACGCTCTCTGTGAATTTCGAAGCGAGAAAGAAGAGAACTAGCAGTGACTCACTGCCGCATAGAGTATTTTCGACGGGAACTTCCCCTACAATTCACGCCTGAGCTGTAGACAGTTTCACGTCTGAGTCGAATGACGCGAGCAGAATGACCGTAGACTAGGCGTGACTCCATCACATTCACAAGTCCCGCGACGAGTCTCAGCGACTCATTGGACTCGGCGGGGATTGTGTCCCGTCGCAGGGGACTGACCTGTCACTTGCAAGTCCCATTCACTGACCGGCTGACATCATCAGTCACAAGCGGTTCCCTTCTAGATGATTCGATCTATTGTTGACTCAACTTCTAGTTAGGCAGGTCAATTTAATTCACAATAAATAAATATTTTGTTTGCGAACTCTGAGTTACAGCCTCACAGCTGAGTTGTCTACATGTTTCGGAAATTTGCGAAGGAGGAAAACGAAGCAGCACTAAATCGAGAACAAAAGTTTGTTCCCTGAATCTGGCCTTTCTGATTCCACAGCTGTCCTGGTGGCGTCTAATTCCGACTTACCTTGAGAAGCCTTTGTCATTTCCAGGTGCTCAACGCTCATAGCTGTCTCATTCCGCTGTGCTTGCACACACACATCCTGTAAAAGCTGCTGGTAACCTGCTTTTTCTAGGCTTCTTATTGGAACCTCCCGTCGCACTAGCAGCCAAACGTCCAGCGCCGTTGCATTGATTGCAATGGCGAGAATGGGAGCAGGACGCGAGTGGTGCAGAGTATGTAGATGGCACGAGGATTTACACGCTCAACCACGGGACATGTACGCTTCAGGCACTTCGAACCGAACACCTTTCTCGTGCGGGTCGCTCGCACTGCATCGTACTGTACGAGAGCCCGCAGTGTCGAGATGCAGCTCATTCGGCTCGGCGGCTGTCGCTAAAATCGCACGCTCTGCGTTGCATGTTGGAGCGGCATGCTGCTGGGTCCAGTTTACATGCACACGGTATAGGAAGCTGAGAACTTGGGACCAGCTGGTACAGTAGAACTCTATGCTGCTCGCGTCGAGACGGTAGTACGACACTAAAGTACCCCCTTTTTTGGCGGTGCATCCGTACCGTGAACTGCGATGGGAACGTCGTTGGACGTGGGAAAGGCAACCAGCCAGCTACAGTAGCGTTTGACCCGTAGTTCCTTCAGACGCGAACCCGTTCACCCTGGGCCCTTCTTCTCCCATTCTCTTCCTCACGTAACCACGCCACTCGTTCGCTCCACTCCCTCTCCAGTTTCCGTCTCCCTCGGTGTCTCACGCTCCCGACTCGGGAAAAATCGTTTTTTTCCCCTCTCCCGCCTCCCTATCATCATTCCTTGGAAACTTCCATCACGCACCGTCATCGTCATCATGATCGCGGATCGCGCGAGTGCGTGCATCCTTCTCGCTATTCTCCACCCCACGTTATGAAACGCGCCGCTTTGCGCATTCAGCCCGGTTCTTACTCTTGCTCCCCACCGCCACGGCAGTACCCTTTTCGAGATTTTGAAATAGTAAATATCTTTCACTGTAGCGCTCCAATCTGCCGGCTTCTATGGCATGACCGTGCAACTTTGCAGCCTTGCCCCCCTCCCAGCTGCTTCTCGCTCTCCCGATCCCTCCCTCCCCCATACCCTACTCCTCTCGAAACCCCCCTCCACCTTCTCCCCCCTTCCCCCCCCCTTCTCTCGCCGCTGCTGCTCCTGCACTGGACGAGTGTTAACACGTGAACCCGGCGCGGGAGAGTTTTTTCGAAGGTTTGAGACGTCTCAAAACGCGATGCAGAGTTGTTGTTGAACCACATTGTCCCGTCTTCCCCTGGACATTAACCGGCTGGCCTTCAATCTTCCGTTCCTATCTCTCGTCGCGTCCCTCCAGTCCTCTCTACCTCGAGAACATCTCGTTCTCTCCGTTGTCCGTTTAGAGACGCCCCCTGTATAAGATCATCCACGCCGCCATACGCGAGCTGCTTGTATCGAAACCCCGCTACCTCCCTGTCCCGGGAAAGCCTCAAACCCTGGTCAGTTGCATTGCCAAGTCATTGCCAAGTCATTGCCAAGTCATTGCCAAGTCATTGCCCAGTCATTGCCCAGTCAATGCCCAGTCATTGCCAAGTCATTGCCAAGTCATTGCCAAGTCATTGCCCAGTCCGAACCATCTATGAAGCTGAAGCAGCAGCTCTGCACCCAGGAAGCCTCGCGAAAGTGAATTCGTTTTCAGACGTCTCAAAACAGCCGTGCAACCTCGGACGCCTCTCACACCTGAGGTCTCTCACATTCTGAGCCGCGCGGCTACGTTGTGAGTTGCCATTGGAACCCATGGCGGCTCCATTTCATCGATCCTACTCTGACGAGAATCGCGTTGTTTCACCGACCACTGCACCGCTGACACGTGGAGCATCAGTAGGGGGAGCGGTTGGAGGAGCAGGAGCAGCAGTCCCAGCAGGCGCCGTCGCACCAGTGCGTGTAACTCACGGTCCTGTCTATCCCACTCCGGGCGGGTATGCTACTAACGGGGATGGGAACTCTGGGGGTTCGCGGGGGTCTCTGGGGAGCGGAAGCGGCAGCACCAGGTCGATTTCAAGATCCAATAGCGGGGCAGTCGTTAACGCGGATGCAATGGGTAATGCTAGTACTAACGGAGGGTCGGGGAGCGGGAGGAGGCTAAGGCGCGTGGAGAGCGGGGAGGGGAGCGGGAAGCAGCACTGGTCCGGTACAAGCAGCAGCGCCCTGTCTGCTTATAACGAAACGCCTCGCGCCTGGGGGAGCCACATGTCCGGCAATGGTGACAATAGCGGGGGCGCGATTCTCGAGCTAGGTGACTATAACGACCAGGTCCCCCCATCCCCGTTCCCAGAACCTATCAAGGAAGAGGAAGCTTCCGTGGAAGGCAGGAATGTTCCTATGCCGGATGTGACTCTAGAGGAGGAACTGTCAGAGTCACTAATGCCGCTCAAGTGGGTGTTCTTCCCGGAAGCAGACCCCGTTCAGCAGTTTCGCGGAAAGCCGTGGCGCGAGAAGATCTGGGTGTTTCTCAAGGGCGTGTTCCCGATCCTCGCGTGGCTTCCTGAGTACGACTGGCGGTACTACCTGCTGGGTGACATTATCGGAGGAGTTTCGATCGCTATCATGTCCGTGCCTCAGGTGAGCCATGAGCAATGCGAGGTCGGTTGTGAGTGGTGGGCGGCACACAGGAACTGGTGAGCAAGGATACATTCTACGTCAACTCAAGTCACCTCGACTGGCGGTACTACCTGCTTGGTGACATTATTGGAGGAGTTTCCATCGCTGTTATGTCCGTCCCCCAGGTGAGCCGTGAGCCGTGTGCTGTGTGCTGTGCGCTGTGGGTGGTGAGTTGTGAGCTGTGCTCTGTGCGCTGCTGGTGGTGGGCGATGAGCGATGTGTGGCGGCGGGCTGTGAGTGGTGACCGTTGCATTGCTGCATGACGGCATGGCGATGTGTTGCGATGTGTGGTCGCATGGCATGGCATGGCATGGCATGGCATGGCATGGCATGGCATGGCACCTCGTTGTGTGGAGGGACCTGCATTCATCCTCTCCGGGTCTCCCCACCCATTCTCTCATCCTGCCTCTCCTTGCCTCCCTGTGGATCTCCTTGCCTCTCTGTGGATCTCCTTGCCTCTCTGTGGATCTCCTTGCCTCTCTGTGGATCTCCTTGCCTCTCTGTGGATCTCCTTGCCTCTCTGTGGATCTCCTTGCCTCTCTGTGGATCTCCTTGCCTCTCTGTGGATCTCCTTGCCTCTCTGTGGATCTCCTTGCCTCTCTGTGGATCTCCTTGCCTCTCTGTGGATCTCCTTGCCTCTCTGTGGATCTCCTTGCCTCTCTGTGGATCTCCTTGCCTCCCTGTGGATCCCCTTGCCTCTCTGTGGATCTCCTTGCCTCTCACGCCTGCTCTTGTAACTCCTCCTCCCTTTCTTCTCCGCGCCCGCCCCTCCCTCTCTTCCCTCGCTCGTCCCTACCAGGACGTCTCATATGCCAAGTACGCCAACATGCCTGCCGAGTTCGCTCTCCGTGAGTTTCCCCCTATCTCCTCTCCCATCCCCTCTCTCCACCCTCATCCTCTCCCCTCATCCTCTTCCTCCCTGTCCTCGTCCACCTCGTGAACGCACCACATCAGTCGTCTCTTACCTTCTCGCCACGGCTCTGCATGTCCAATGGATCCCCTCTCCTTTTCCTCCTTCCCCTCTCCCTCCCTATACCCTCCCACACCAGGCACCAGTTTCATCCCGCCGCTGCTCTACGCCATACAGGGCTCCTCCAAGCATCTCGTCATAGCGCCCGTGTCAGTCATCTCGCAGCTGCTCGGCACGTCCGTCAGCGCGCTGGCCAACCCCGCCACCGACCCGGCGCTCTACACCAGCCTCGTTGTCACCGCTACCTTCTTCTGTGGCCTCTTCCAACTCATCATGGGGATGTGCAGGTGAGAGGGTGGCTGTGTCTTTGTGCCGGGCTTGCCAGTGCGACTGGGCTCATGCATCTGCTCCCATCACGGCCCTGAGCGCTCTACACGAGCCTTGCAGTCACCGCCACGTTCTTCTGCCGCCTCTTCCAACTCATCATGGGGCTCTGCAGGTGAGTGGAGGGGTTTGTTGTGACTGCGGGGTTGTGAGTGCTACTGGGTATGAGCTTGGCGCCGCCTTCCCGAGCGCATTGGGGACCCTGCGACTGCCGCCTTCTTCTGCCGCCTCTTCCAACTCATCATGGGGCTCTGCCGGTGAGGGAAAGAGCGTCTCAGTGTTACTGTGCTGGTTTTGTGAGTGCAGTAGGCTTGTGTGACTGGGCGTGTGCTCCTGCTCAACACGGGTTCCTGTCGGGGTGCCCACCAGTTCTGACAGATTCAACATAAACAAGAACGGCACCCCGGCATTGCACTTTGTCTCTCCCTACCTCACATCATCAGGTTTGGCTGTTTGGTGGATTTTCTGAACCAGCCAACGAATTTGGAATTCCTATCTGGATGCTCACCAGCTCCCTCACCTCTCTCGAATGGCCCCCCTCTCTCCCTCTCTCCCGCTCGTCAGGTTGGCTTACTCGTGGATTTCCTGAACCAGCCGACCATCGTGGGGTTCCTGTCGGGCTGCTTGCTCACCATAGCCATCCAGCAGCTGAAGCTCATCCCTCTCGCAAACAATGCTGTGTGGTGCTGCTCGGTCCTGTGCAGTGCTCTCTCTCACCATCGCCATCCAGCAGCTGAAGCTCATCCTTCTCGAAAGCCTGCCTTTTCTCCCCTTCCTACCTCTCACCAGGTTCGGCTTACTCGTGGATTTCCTGAACCAGCCAACGATTGTGGGGTTCCTGTCGGGCTGCTCCCTCACAGTCTCCATCCAGCAGCTGAAGCTCATCTCCCTCAAACGGTGCAGTGTGGTGCTGCTCGGTGCTGTGCAGTGCTGCTCACTTACCATCGCCATCCAGCAGCTGAAGCTCATCCCCCTCGAATGCCTCCCTCTCGCCCTCTCCTACCTCTCTCCCCACCTTCCCTCTCATCAGGTTCGGGTTTCTTGTGGATTTCCTGAACCAGCCGACCATCGTGGGGTTCCTATCAGGCTGCTCTCTCACCATCGCCATCCAGCAGCTGAAGCTCATCCTGGGGTACAAGGACTTCACGCTCAGCACCAGCATCGTCAACATCATTGCTGCCATCGTGCAATACAGCTACCAGGTGGGTGCAGTGCGGTGCTGCTCGGTATAGTAAGGTGCTGCTCTGTGCTGTGCGGTGCTGCTCCCTCACCATCGCCATCCAGCAGCTGAAGCTCATCCTGGGGTACAAGGACTTCACGCTCAGCACCAGCATCGTCAACATCATCTCTCCCATTGTCATCCTGCCTCTCCCTGCCTCTCCCTGTCTCTACTCTGCCTCTCCCCCGCCTCAAACTCATGCCAGTGTTTCCCGTTCCCATTGTCCCCATGCCTGCAGTTCCAGTGGAAGGCGTTCGTCATGGGCACGGCCTTCTTCCTCTCATCGTTCGTCAACCTGCCTCAATCCCATGTGCTTGTTTGCCCTTCCCATTCCCATCTCCATGCCCATCCCCATGCCTGCAGTTTCAGTGGAAGGCGTTCGTCATGGGCACGTCCTTCTTCCTCTACCTCTCCACCGTGCGCCTGCTGGTACGCACCCCCTGCTGTTCCCCCCCCCCCTTTTCCCCCCTCGGCTGAGAAGGTGACATAGCAACACCTGCATGTCATGGGCACGGCCTTCTTCCTCTATCTCTCCACCGTGCGCCTGCTGGTACGCCCACCCCATCCCTTGAACCTGACGTGGCAGGGAATATCTGAGAATTCCAGAAATTTTCCTCTCCTCGTTCTTTCACCGCCTTTGACTGAGAAAAGTGAGGTGACACGAGCACACTGTCATGTGTAAAAAGTGATTTATTACCTTTTACACTGACTGAAAAAAGTGAGGTGACATGAGCACACTGTCATGGGCATATGTCCTTCCTCCACTACTTGAACAGGCGCGGCCCACTCGCATCCGTCCCTGTGATTGTGTCTCAATCTCAACCCACCACCGCTTCATCCCACAGGTGTATCTGAGGCCCAAGAACAAGGTGTTGTGCTGCTACCTGAACGCGCTCGGTCCCTTGTGATTCGGTCCCTTCTCTATGCTTCCCTCACCCTTCCCACAGGTGTATCTGAAGCCTAAGAACAAGGTGTTCTACTACCTCAACGCGCTCGGCCCACTGACGTCCATCCTCATCTCCACCGCTCCACCACTCCACCACCTTAACTCACCACAGGTGTATCTGAAGCCCCCGAGATCAAGGTGTTCTACTACCTCAACGCGTTCCCCTGTGGCCTATGCTGCCCTCTCCCTCCCACAGGTGTATCTGAAGCCCAAGAACAAAGTCTTCTACTACCTCAACGCGCTCGGCCCGCTCACATCCATCGTCGTCTCAACCATCATCGTGGCCGTTGCCGGGCTGGCGGACAAAGGCATTCCCACGGTGAGTCCGTACTGTGCTGTGCTCGCACCCTCCCTTAGGCCCTAGGGTATGATGCGCAGCGCTATCATGACCGTGCTTTGAGTGTTCCTCGTCCATCCCCGTCTCAACCATCATCGTGGCCGTTGCCGGGCTGGCGGACAAAGGCATTTACCACGGTGAGTCCTCACAGCACACCACAGCCATTGCCGTCTCTCCTCTCTCCCGCTCACATCCATCGTCATCTCAACCATCATTGTGGCAGCTGCGGGCCTAAGAAACAAGGGCATTCCCACTGTGAGTCCTCACAGCACACCACAGCCATTGCCGTCTCTCCTCTCTCCCGCTCACATCCATCGTCATCTCAACCATCATTGTGGCCGCTGCGGGCCTAAGAAACAAGGGCATTCCCACTGTGAGTCCTCACAGCACACCACAGCCATTGCCGTCTCTCCTCTCTCCCGCTCACATCCATCGTCATCTCAACCATCATTGTGGCCGCTGCAGGGCTGGCGGGCAAAGGCATTCCCACGGTGAGTCGTCACTTGACTCTCTTTCCTAGGATATCAGCGTTACCATTAGAGTGCTCGCTCCCCTAGGGTATCAGTGTTACAATGACCGTGCTTTGAGTATTCCTCGTCTCAACCATCATTGTGGCCGCTGCAGGGCTGGCGGGCAAAGGCGTCCCCAGTGTGAGTCGTTACTGTGCTCGCTCCCCTTGACCCTAGGTTATCACCATGCTTCTAATACTCCACATCTCCTGTGCAAGCATCATCGTGCCAGCCAGCAGCAGGGATCAGCGAGAAAGGCATCCCCACTGTGAATCATATCACATCTTCCCCTCCCTTCGGCCCAAGGGTGTGAAAGCGCTATCGTGACCATGTGTGCTTGGAGTATCCCACAGTTCCTATCCTGTGCAACCATCATCGTGCCAGCCAGCAGCAGGGATCAGCGAGAAAGGCATCCCCACTGTGAGTCGTCACAGCGTTCCCTCATCTCTGCCTCTCTGCCTCTCTGCCACGAGCAGCACACCAGCCATTGCCGTGCTTTGAGGTTAACGTGCTCTGAGCTGCACGGGGCATCGTGCCTCTCTTACTTCAACTCTTCTCCTCCACCTTCGACCCTCGACCACTTCCCACCACCTTCTCCCAGCTCTCTCCATTCATCTCGTGTCTCTCCCCTGTCCAGATAGGTCACATTTTTAGTCGACTAAAAAATTCTCCCATCTCTCTCCATTCACCTCGTGTCTCTCCCCTGCCCAGATAGGAAAGATCTCCACGGGGTTGCACCGGGCCTCACGGGGCTGCACCGGGCCTCACGGGGTTGCACCGGGCCTCACGGGGTTGCACCGGGCCTCACGGGGCTGCACCGGGCCTCCTCCATCTCCTTCCTCAACATCTCTCCACCACTCATCGTCTCTCCACTACCTCCACTCATCTTCGCTCCACCACCTTCTCTCCCCTTCACCTCGTGTCTCTCCCCTGCCCAGATAGGGAAGATCTCCACGGGGCTGCACGGGGCCTCCTCCATCTCCTACCTCAACTTCTCAAAAGATAACGTTGCTGACGTGGCTGCTGTCGGCTTCATCACCTGCCTTGTCTCCCTTGCGGTGAGCTATTGCTCCTTCATGTGACTTACCGTTCCCTCTTCGCCCATTTCTCTCACCCCATTCTCTTCCATCGCCTACCTCAACTTCCCACTGGAGAACGTCGCTGACATGGCCACTGTGCGGTGAGCCTTTGCCCTTGAGCGCCGTCTCAGCCGGGGACAGGAGGAGGACGCAAAGTGTCAGTGTCTTTTGAATTCATTGCAAGGTGCCTTTTGAAGGCGCCAGGAGAGGATTTTTGAGGCGCCTAAGAAAACGTCGCTGACATGGCCACTGTGCGGTGAGCCTTTGCCCTTGAGCGCCGTCTCAGCCGGGGACAGGAGGAGGCACCTTGCAATGCCTCTCAGTGTCAGTGTCTTTTGAATTCATTGCAAGGTGCCTTTTGAAGGCGCCAGGAGAGGATTTTTGAGGCGCCTAAAAAAACGTCGCTGACATGGCCACTGTGCGGTGAGCCTTTGCCCTTGAGCGCCGTCTCAGCCGGGGACAGGAGGAGGCACCTTGCAATGCCTCTCAGTGTCAGTGTCTTTTGAAGTCATTGCAAGGTGCCTTTTGAAGGCGCCAGGAGAGGATTTTTGAGGCGCCTAAAAAAACGTCGCTGACATGGCCACTGTGCGGTGAGCCTTTGCCCTTGAGCGCCGTCTCAGCCGGGGACAGGAGGAGGCACCTTGCAATGCCTCTCAGTGTCAGTGTCTTTTGAATTCATTGCAAGGTGCCTTTTGAAGGCGCCAGGAGAGGATTTTTGAGGCGCCTAAAAAAACGTCGCTGACATGGCCACTGTGCGGTGAGCCTTTGCCCTTGAGCGCCGTCTCAGCCGGGGACAGGAGGAGGCACCTTGCAATGCCTCTCAGTGTCAGTGTCTTTTGAATTCATTGCAAGGTGCCTTTTGAAGGCGCCAGGAGAGGCGTCTTCTGAGCGCTTTTCGGAACCACCGCGAGAGGCATCTCGTGCACCCTGCCGTGACTTCAAAATTGTTCAACAGATCTGCTTCCTTCCCCTTGTGCTTCCCTTTGTGCAGGAGTCAGTGGGCATTGCCCGTACCTTCGCCAGCCTGTATGGTTACCACCTCGACGGTAACAAAGAGGTGAGATGGTTACCACATCAAGGGTATCCAAGAGGCCAGCTGGTTACCACGTGGAGGTAACAAAGAGGTAAGTGGGATTCAATGCATATTTTCTTCCATTCTGCCATCCTGTTCAGCCAATTCCTTCCCCTGCCAGTTCTTTCATTCCAAGCTCACCCTCGCACCATCTTCTCTCTTCCCCCCGCTCTCCCTTCCTTGCGTTTCAGATGGTTGCGTTTGGTTCAATGAACCTGGTCGGCTCCTTCACCTCCTGCTACGTGGCAGCAGGTGAGGCAGAATGGTGACCTGAAGTGGAGTGCAGTGTGGTGCGGTGTGGTGGGGTGCAGGTAAGTGCGCATCAAAGCGGCAATCCACAAGCAGACTCCCTTGCACTTCACACTGCCTTCCATCTTCTTGTGTTTATGTATCAGCGTATCAAAACAGCCACTCTTCCACCCAACCCCTCCCTTCCCCCACCCCTCCCTCCTCCCACACACCATTCTCCCCTCTCCCGTACGATTTTCCTTCTCTTTCCAGGCCCCTTCTCCGGCACGGCAGTCAACATGCCAGCGGGAGCCAGGGCAGATGCGCTGACTCAAGCCAGCTCCTACTGCCTCACTCGCAACTTCATCCCCTGCCCGCACTGCCTCCCTTCATTCCCCTTCTTGTCCTCCCTCCTCCAGGCTCCTTCTCTCGAACGGCAGTGAACATGCTAGCAGGAGCCAAGACAGCACTCACACAAGTCATCATGGCGCTGCTCATTCTCCTCGTGCTGCTCGTCGCCGCCCCGCTCTTCAAGAACGTCCCCAATGTGCGTGACTTGACAGGAATGTTCTCTTCTTCCTTGTTCTTGCATGAATGAGAGACCTTATTGTTCTGATGCTGCTTGTGCTGCTTGTGCTCCTCGTGCTGCTCGCTGCTGCCCCGATTTTCAAAAACGTCCCGAATGTGCGTCATATGACAAGACTGCTCCTTGCCTCCCTGTGCTGATCATGCTGCCCGTGCTGCCCGTGCATGAGGGTGGGCGTCTCAATCCCGCCTCGTCGTCTCTCCCTCGCTCCATCCCTCCCATGCTGCCTCTCTCCCTCAACTCTTTATCACCAAACCTGCCATGAACTTGTTGCACTCTTGCACGCATCCTCTCTCCCTTCTCCTCAACTCATTCCCGGCACGCAACCCATGTCCCCCCCTGGTCTTCCCTATTGGCAGTGTGTGGTCGGTGCAGTCATCGCCAATGCTGCCTTAAACCTGGTAAGCCCCCACCGCAGCTGCTTAGCACTCGTTGCCGTTATTCCTCTCTTCTTCCCACGTCCTCCTCCACTCTCTCTCTCACTCACTGACGCTCCCTCCCCTTCATTGCATCACTCTGTGTCTCGACTCAGACAGTGTAAGTGAAGGTGCCCCACTTCCACCTTCCTCCTCCTGCTCCGCTTCCTGCTCCTCTGTGAGTTTCCCTCCTTGCTCAACAGCTCGACTTCCATGCAGCGTGGGCGATGTGGAGGGTGGACAAGATGGACTTCCTGGTCATGCCCAGCTGCTTATTCCCTCCCTTCCCGCCTCTTTCTCCCCCCCCTCTCAACAGCTCGATTTCCATGCAGCGTGGGCGCTGTGGAGGGTGGACAAGATGGACTTCCTGGTCATGTCGGGCTGCTTCCTCGCCATCCTCTTCGGCTCCCCCGAGATCGGCCTTCTCGTCGCCATCCTGCTCTCCATCATCAAGATCCTCCTCCGCTCCCTCCGCCCGCACATCCGCCTGCTCGGACTCCTCCCCAACGCCGCCGCTACAGCCGTGAGCGTGCTGCAGTTCCCCAACAGCGCGCTGTGCGAGGGAATCGTGATGCTGAGGGTGGAGAGCCCGCTGTATTTCCCCGGGGCTAATTTTGTGAGGCAGCGCGTGAAGAAGCTGTGTGATGCGTATGCGAGGGGATACCAGCAACCAGTCAAGGTGAGCAATTGTTCTAAAGAACCCTTACTAGTGCTGCAGTTCCCCAACAGCGCGCTGTGCGAGGGAATCGTGATGCTGAGGGTGGAGAGCCCGCTGTATTTCCCCGGGGCTAATTTTGTGAGGCAGCGCGTGAAGAAGCTGTGTGATGCGTATGCGAGGGGATACCAGCAACCAGTCAAGGTGAGCAATTGTTCTAAAGAACCCTTACTAGTGCTGCAGTTCCCCAACAGCGCGCTGTGCGAGGGAATCGTGATGCTGAGGGTGGAGAGCCCGCTGTATTTCCCCGGGGCTAATTTTGTGAGGCAGCGCGTGAAGAAGCTGTGTGATGCGTATGCGAGGGGATACCAGCAACCAGTCAAGGTGAGCAATTGTTCTAAAGAACCCTTACTAGTGCTGCAGTTCCCCAACAGCGCGCTGTGCGAGGGAATCGTGATGCTGAGGGTGGAGAGCCCGCTGTATTTCCCCGGGGCTAATTTTGTGAGGCAGCGCGTGAAGAAGCTGTGTGATGCGTATGCGAGGGGATACCAGCAACCAGTCAAGGTGAGCAATTGTTCTAAAGAACCCTTACTAGTGCTGCAGTTCCCCAACAGCGCGCTGTGCGAGGGAATCGTGATGCTGAGGGTGGAGAGCCCGCTGTATTTCCCCGGGGCTAATTTTGTGAGGCAGCGCGTGAAGAAGCTGTGTGATGCGTATGCGAGGGGATACCAGCAACCAGTCAAGGTGAGCAATTGTTCTAAAGAACCCTTACTAGTGCTGCAGTTCCCCAACAGCGCGCTGTGCGAGGGAATCGTGATGCTGAGGGTGGAGAGCCCGCTGTATTTCCCCGGGGCTAATTTTGTGAGGCAGCGCGTGAAGAAGCTGTGTGATGCGTATGCGAGGGGATACCAGCAACCAGTCAAGGTGAGCAATTGTTCTAAAGAACCCTTACTAGTGCTGCAGTTCCCCAACAGCGCGCTGTGCGAGGGAATCGTGATGCTGAGGGTGGAGAGCCCGCTGTATTTCCCCGGGGCTAATTTTGTGAGGCAGCGCGTGAAGAAGCTGTGTGATGCGTATGCGAGGGGATACCAGCAACCAGTCAAGGTGAGCAATTGTTCTAAAGAACCCTTACTAGTGCTGCAGTTCCCCAACAGCGCGCTGTGCGAGGGAATCGTGATGCTGAGGGTGGAGAGCCCGCTGTATTTCCCCGGGGCTAATTTTGTGAGGCAGCGCGTGAAGAAGCTGTGTGATGCGTATGCGAGGGGATACCAGCAACCAGTCAAGGTGAGCAATTGTTCTAAAGAACCCTTACTAGTGCTGCAGTTCCCCAACAGCGCGCTGTGCGAGGGAATCGTGATGCTGAGGGTGGAGAGCCCGCTGTATTTCCCCGGGGCTAATTTTGTGAGGCAGCGCGTGAAGAAGCTGTGTGATGCGTATGCGAGGGGATACCAGCAACCAGTCAAGGTGAGCAATTGTTCTAAAGAACCCTTACTAGTGCTGCAGTTCCCCAACAGCGCGCTGTGCGAGGGAATCGTGATGCTGAGGGTGGAGAGCCCGCTGTATTTCCCCGGGGCTAATTTTGTGAGGCAGCGCGTGAAGAAGCTGTGTGATGCGTATGCGAGGGGATACCAGCAACCAGTCAAGGTGAGCAATTGTTCTAAAGAACCCTTACTAGTGCTGCAGTTCCCCAACAGCGCGCTGTGCGAGGGAATCGTGATGCTGAGGGTGGAGAGCCCGCTGTATTTCCCCGGGGCTAATTTTGTGAGGCAGCGCGTGAAGAAGCTGTGTGATGCGTATGCGAGGGGATACCAGCAACCAGTCAAGGTGAGCAATTGTTCTAAAGAACCCTTACTAGTGCTGCAGTTCCCCAACAGCGCGCTGTGCGAGGGAATCGTGATGCTGAGGGTGGAGAGCCCGCTGTATTTCCCCGGGGCTAATTTTGTGAGGCAGCGCGTGAAGAAGCTGTGTGATGCGTATGCGAGGGGATACCAGCAACCAGTCAAGGTGAGCAATTGTTCTAAAGAACCCTTACTAGTGCTGCAGTTCCCCAACAGCGCGCTGTGCGAGGGAATCGTGATGCTGAGGGTGGAGAGCCCGCTGTATTTCCCCGGGGCTAATTTTGTGAGGCAGCGCGTGAAGAAGCTGTGTGATGCGTATGCGAGGGGATACCAGCAACCAGTCAAGGTGAGCAATTGTTCTAAAGAACCCTTACTAGTGCTGCAGTTCCCCAACAGCGCGCTGTGCGAGGGAATCGTGATGCTGAGGGTGGAGAGCCCGCTGTATTTCCCCGGGGCTAATTTTGTGAGGCAGCGCGTGAAGAAGCTGTGTGATGCGTATGCGAGGGGATACCAGCAACCAGTCAAGGTGAGCAATTGTTCTAAAGAACCCTTACTAGTGCTGCAGTTCCCCAACAGCGCGCTGTGCGAGGGAATCGTGATGCTGAGGGTGGAGAGCCCGCTGTATTTCCCCGGGGCTAATTTTGTGAGGCAGCGCGTGAAGAAGCTGTGTGATGCGTATGCGAGGGGATACCAGCAACCAGTCAAGGTGAGCAATTGTTCTAAAGAACCCTTACTAGTGCTGCAGTTCCCCAACAGCGCGCTGTGCGAGGGAATCGTGATGCTGAGGGTGGAGAGCCCGCTGTATTTCCCCGGGGCTAATTTTGTGAGGCAGCGCGTGAAGAAGCTGTGTGATGCGTATGCGAGGGGATACCAGCAACCAGTCAAGGTGAGCAATTGTTCTAAAGAACCCTTACTAGTGCTGCAGTTCCCCAACAGCGCGCTGTGCGAGGGAATCGTGATGCTGAGGGTGGAGAGCCCGCTGTATTTCCCCGGGGCTAATTTTGTGAGGCAGCGCGTGAAGAAGCTGTGTGATGCGTATGCGAGGGGATACCAGCAACCAGTCAAGGTGAGCAATTGTTCTAAAGAACCCTTACTAGTGCTGCAGTTCCCCAACAGCGCGCTGTGCGAGGGAATCGTGATGCTGAGGGTGGAGAGCCCGCTGTATTTCCCCGGGGCTAATTTTGTGAGGCAGCGCGTGAAGAAGCTGTGTGATGCGTATGCGAGGGGATACCAGCAACCAGTCAAGGTGAGCAATTGTTCTAAAGAACCCTTACTAGTGCTGCAGTTCCCCAACAGCGCGCTGTGCGAGGGAATCGTGATGCTGAGGGTGGAGAGCCCGCTGTATTTCCCCGGGGCTAATTTTGTGAGGCAGCGCGTGAAGAAGCTGTGTGATGCGTATGCGAGGGGATACCAGCAACCAGTCAAGGTGAGCAATTGTTCTAAAGAACCCTTACTAGTGCTGCAGTTCCCCAACAGCGCGCTGTGCGAGGGAATCGTGATGCTGAGGGTGGAGAGCCCGCTGTATTTCCCCGGGGCTAATTTTGTGAGGCAGCGCGTGAAGAAGCTGTGTGATGCGTATGCGAGGGGATACCAGCAACCAGTCAAGGTGAGCAATTGTTCTAAAGAACCCTTACTAGTGCTGCAGTTCCCCAACAGCGCGCTGTGCGAGGGAATCGTGATGCTGAGGGTGGAGAGCCCGCTGTATTTCCCCGGGGCTAATTTTGTGAGGCAGCGCGTGAAGAAGCTGTGTGATGCGTATGCGAGGGGATACCAGCAACCAGTCAAGGTGAGCAATTGTTCTAAAGAACCCTTACTAGTGCTGCAGTTCCCCAACAGCGCGCTGTGCGAGGGAATCGTGATGCTGAGGGTGGAGAGCCCGCTGTATTTCCCCGGGGCTAATTTTGTGAGGCAGCGCGTGAAGAAGCTGTGTGATGCGTATGCGAGGGGATACCAGCAACCAGTCAAGGTGAGCAATTGTTCTAAAGAACCCTTACTAGTGCTGCAGTTCCCCAACAGCGCGCTGTGCGAGGGAATCGTGATGCTGAGGGTGGAGAGCCCGCTGTATTTCCCCGGGGCTAATTTTGTGAGGCAGCGCGTGAAGAAGCTGTGTGATGCGTATGCGAGGGGATACCAGCAACCAGTCAAGGTGAGCAATTGTTCTAAAGAACCCTTACTAGTGCTGCAGTTCCCCAACAGCGCGCTGTGCGAGGGAATCGTGATGCTGAGGGTGGAGAGCCCGCTGTATTTCCCCGGGGCTAATTTTGTGAGGCAGCGCGTGAAGAAGCTGTGTGATGCGTATGCGAGGGGATACCAGCAACCAGTCAAGGTGAGCAATTGTTCTAAAGAACCCTTACTAGTGCTGCAGTTCCCCAACAGCGCGCTGTGCGAGGGAATCGTGATGCTGAGGGTGGAGAGCCCGCTGTATTTCCCCGGGGCTAATTTTGTGAGGCAGCGCGTGAAGAAGCTGTGTGATGCGTATGCGAGGGGATACCAGCAACCAGTCAAGGTGAGCAATTGTTCTAAAGAACCCTTACTAGTGCTGCAGTTCCCCAACAGCGCGCTGTGCGAGGGAATCGTGATGCTGAGGGTGGAGAGCCCGCTGTATTTCCCCGGGGCTAATTTTGTGAGGCAGCGCGTGAAGAAGCTGTGTGATGCGTATGCGAGGGGATACCAGCAACCAGTCAAGGTGAGCAATTGTTCTAAAGAACCCTTACTAGTGATGCAGTTCCCCAACAGCGCGCTGTGCGAGGGAATCGTGATGCTGAGGGTGGAGAGCCCGCTGTATTTCCCCGGGGCTAATTTTGTGAGGCAGCGCGTGAAGAAGCTGTGTGATGCGTATGCGAGGGGATACCAGCAACCAGTCAAGGTGAGCAATTGTTCTAAAGAACCCTTACTAGTGCTGCAGTTCCCCAACAGCGCGCTGTGCGAGGGAATCGTGATGCTGAGGGTGGAGAGCCCGCTGTATTTCCCCGGGGCTAATTTTGTGAGGCAGCGCGTGAAGAAGCTGTGTGATGCGTATGCGAGGGGATACCAGCAACCAGTCAAGGTGAGCAATTGTTCTAAAGAACCCTTACTAGTGCTGCAGTTCCCCAACAGCGCGCTGTGCGAGGGAATCGTGATGCTGAGGGTGGAGAGCCCGCTGTATTTCCCCGGGGCTAATTTTGTGAGGCAGCGCGTGAAGAAGCTGTGTGATGCGTATGCGAGGGGATACCAGCAACCAGTCAAGGTGAGCAATTGTTCTAAAGAACCCTTACTAGTGCTGCAGTTCCCCAACAGCGCGCTGTGCGAGGGAATCGTGATGCTGAGGGTGGAGAGCCCGCTGTATTTCCCCGGGGCTAATTTTGTGAGGCAGCGCGTGAAGAAGCTGTGTGATGCGTATGCGAGGGGATACCAGCAACCAGTCAAGGTGAGCAATTGTTCTAAAGAACCCTTACTAGTGCTGCAGTTCCCCAACAGCGCGCTGTGCGAGGGAATCGTGATGCTGAGGGTGGAGAGCCCGCTGTATTTCCCCGGGGCTAATTTTGTGAGGCAGCGCGTGAAGAAGCTGTGTGATGCGTATGCGAGGGGATACCAGCAACCAGTCAAGGTGAGCAATTGTTCTAAAGAACCCTTACTAGTGCTGCAGTTCCCCAACAGCGCGCTGTGCGAGGGAATCGTGATGCTGAGGGTGGAGAGCCCGCTGTATTTCCCCGGGGCTAATTTTGTGAGGCAGCGCGTGAAGAAGCTGTGTGATGCGTATGCGAGGGGATACCAGCAACCAGTCAAGGTGAGCAATTGTTCTAAAGAACCCTTACTAGTGCTGCAGTTCCCCAACAGCGCGCTGTGCGAGGGAATCGTGATGCTGAGGGTGGAGAGCCCGCTGTATTTCCCCGGGGCTAATTTTGTGAGGCAGCGCGTGAAGAAGCTGTGTGATGCGTATGCGAGGGGATACCAGCAACCAGTCAAGGTGAGCAATTGTTCTAAAGAACCCTTACTAGTGCTGCAGTTCCCCAACAGCGCGCTGTGCGAGGGAATCGTGATGCTGAGGGTGGAGAGCCCGCTGTATTTCCCCGGGGCTAATTTTGTGAGGCAGCGCGTGAAGAAGCTGTGTGATGCGTATGCGAGGGGATACCAGCAACCAGTCAAGGTGAGCAATTGTTCTAAAGAACCCTTACTAGTGCTGCAGTTCCCCAACAGCGCGCTGTGCGAGGGAATCGTGATGCTGAGGGTGGAGAGCCCGCTGTATTTCCCCGGGGCTAATTTTGTGAGGCAGCGCGTGAAGAAGCTGTGTGATGCGTATGCGAGGGGATACCAGCAACCAGTCAAGGTGAGCAATTGTTCTAAAGAACCCTTACTAGTGCTGCAGTTCCCCAACAGCGCGCTGTGCGAGGGAATCGTGATGCTGAGGGTGGAGAGCCCGCTGTATTTCCCCGGGGCTAATTTTGTGAGGCAGCGCGTGAAGAAGCTGTGTGATGCGTATGCGAGGGGATACCAGCAACCAGTCAAGGTGAGCAATTGTTCTAAAGAACCCTTACTAGTGCTGCAGTTCCCCAACAGCGCGCTGTGCGAGGGAATCGTGATGCTGAGGGTGGAGAGCCCGCTGTATTTCCCCGGGGCTAATTTTGTGAGGCAGCGCGTGAAGAAGCTGTGTGATGCGTATGCGAGGGGATACCAGCAACCAGTCAAGGTGAGCAATTGTTCTAAAGAACCCTTACTAGTGCTGCAGTTCCCCAACAGCGCGCTGTGCGAGGGAATCGTGATGCTGAGGGTGGAGAGCCCGCTGTATTTCCCCGGGGCTAATTTTGTGAGGCAGCGCGTGAAGAAGCTGTGTGATGCGTATGCGAGGGGATACCAGCAACCAGTCAAGGTGAGAAATTGTTCTAAAGAACCCTTACTAGTGCTGCAGTTCCCCAACAGCGCGCTGTGCGAGGGAATCGTGATGCTGAGGGTGGAGAGCCCGCTGTATTTCCCCGGGGCTAATTTTGTGAGGCAGCGCGTGAAGAAGCTGTGTGATGCGTATGCGAGGGGATACCAGCAACCAGTCAAGGTGAGCAATTGTTCTAAAGAACCCTTACTAGTGCTGCAGTTCCCCAACAGCGCGCTGTGCGAGGGAATCGTGATGCTGAGGGTGGAGAGCCCGCTGTATTTCCCCGGGGCTAATTTTGTGAGGCAGCGCGTGAAGAAGCTGTGTGATGCGTATGCGAGGGGATACCAGCAACCAGTCAAGGTGAGCAATTGTTCTAAAGAACCCTTACTAGTGCTGCAGTTCCCCAACAGCGCGCTGTGCGAGGGAATCGTGATGCTGAGGGTGGAGAGCCCGCTGTATTTCCCCGGGGCTAATTTTGTGAGGCAGCGCGTGAAGAAGCTGTGTGATGCGTATGCGAGGGGATACCAGCAACCAGTCAAGGTGAGCAATTGTTCTAAAGAACCCTTACTAGTGCTGCAGTTCCCCAACAGCGCGCTGTGCGAGGGAATCGTGATGCTGAGGGTGGAGAGCCCGCTGTATTTCCCCGGGGCTAATTTTGTGAGGCAGCGCGTGAAGAAGCTGTGTGATGCGTATGCGAGGGGATACCAGCAACCAGTCAAGGTGAGCAATTGTTCTAAAGAACCCTTACTAGTGCTGCAGTTCCCCAACAGCGCGCTGTGCGAGGGAATCGTGATGCTGAGGGTGGAGAGCCCGCTGTATTTCCCCGGGGCTAATTTTGTGAGGCAGCGCGTGAAGAAGCTGTGTGATGCGTATGCGAGGGGATACCAGCAACCAGTCAAGGTGAGCAATTGTTCTAAAGAACCCTTACTAGTGCTGCAGTTCCCCAACAGCGCGCTGTGCGAGGGAATCGTGATGCTGAGGGTGGAGAGCCCGCTGTATTTCCCCGGGGCTAATTTTGTGAGGCAGCGCGTGAAGAAGCTGTGTGATGCGTATGCGAGGGGATACCAGCAACCAGTCAAGGTGAGCAATTGTTCTAAAGAACCCTTACTAGTGCTGCAGTTCCCCAACAGCGCGCTGTGCGAGGGAATCGTGATGCTGAGGGTGGAGAGCCCGCTGTATTTCCCCGGGGCTAATTTTGTGAGGCAGCGCGTGAAGAAGCTGTGTGATGCGTATGCGAGGGGATACCAGCAACCAGTCAAGGTGAGCAATTGTTCTAAAGAACCCTTACTAGTGCTGCAGTTCCCCAACAGCGCGCTGTGCGAGGGAATCGTGATGCTGAGGGTGGAGAGCCCGCTGTATTTCCCCGGGGCTAATTTTGTGAGGCAGCGCGTGAAGAAGCTGTGTGATGCGTATGCGAGGGGATACCAGCAACCAGTCAAGGTGAGCAATTGTTCTAAAGAACCCTTACTAGTGCTGCAGTTCCCCAACAGCGCGCTGTGCGAGGGAATCGTGATGCTGAGGGTGGAGAGCCCGCTGTATTTCCCCGGGGCTAATTTTGTGAGGCAGCGCGTGAAGAAGCTGTGTGATGCGTATGCGAGGGGATACCAGCAACCAGTCAAGGTGAGCAATTGTTCTAAAGAACCCTTACTAGTGCTGCAGTTCCCCAACAGCGCGCTGTGCGAGGGAATCGTGATGCTGAGGGTGGAGAGCCCGCTGTATTTCCCCGGGGCTAATTTTGTGAGGCAGCGCGTGAAGAAGCTGTGTGATGCGTATGCGAGGGGATACCAGCAACCAGTCAAGGTGAGCAATTGTTCTAAAGAACCCTTACTAGTGCTGCAGTTCCCCAACAGCGCGCTGTGCGAGGGAATCGTGATGCTGAGGGTGGAGAGCCCGCTGTATTTCCCCGGGGCTAATTTTGTGAGGCAGCGCGTGAAGAAGCTGTGTGATGCGTATGCGAGGGGATACCAGCAACCAGTCAAGGTGAGCAATTGTTCTAAAGAACCCTTACTAGTGCTGCAGTTCCCCAACAGCGCGCTGTGCGAGGGAATCGTGATGCTGAGGGTGGAGAGCCCGCTGTATTTCCCCGGGGCTAATTTTGTGAGGCAGCGCGTGAAGAAGCTGTGTGATGCGTATGCGAGGGGATACCAGCAACCAGTCAAGGTGAGCAATTGTTCTAAAGAACCCTTACTAGTGCTGCAGTTCCCCAACAGCGCGCTGTGCGAGGGAATCGTGATGCTGAGGGTGGAGAGCCCGCTGTATTTCCCCGGGGCTAATTTTGTGAGGCAGCGCGTGAAGAAGCTGTGTGATGCGTATGCGAGGGGATACCAGCAACCAGTCAAGGTGAGCAATTGTTCTAAAGAACCCTTACTAGTGCTGCAGTTCCCCAACAGCGCGCTGTGCGAGGGAATCGTGATGCTGAGGGTGGAGAGCCCGCTGTATTTCCCCGGGGCTAATTTTGTGAGGCAGCGCGTGAAGAAGCTGTGTGATGCGTATGCGAGGGGATACCAGCAACCAGTCAAGGTGAGCAATTGTTCTAAAGAACCCTTACTAGTGCTGCAGTTCCCCAACAGCGCGCTGTGCGAGGGAATCGTGATGCTGAGGGTGGAGAGCCCGCTGTATTTCCCCGGGGCTAATTTTGTGAGGCAGCGCGTGAAGAAGCTGTGTGATGCGTATGCGAGGGGATACCAGCAACCAGTCAAGGTGAGCAATTGTTCTAAAGAACCCTTACTAGTGCTGCAGTTCCCCAACAGCGCGCTGTGCGAGGGAATCGTGATGCTGAGGGTGGAGAGCCCGCTGTATTTCCCCGGGGCTAATTTTGTGAGGCAGCGCGTGAAGAAGCTGTGTGATGCGTATGCGAGGGGATACCAGCAACCAGTCAAGGTGAGAAATTGTTCTAAAGAACCCTTACTAGTGCTGCAGTTCCCCAACAGCGCGCTGTGCGAGGGAATCGTGATGCTGAGGGTGGAGAGCCCGCTGTATTTCCCCGGGGCTAATTTTGTGAGGCAGCGCGTGAAGAAGCTGTGTGATGCGTATGCGAGGGGATACCAGCAACCAGTCAAGGTGAGCAATTGTTCTAAAGAACCCTTACTAGTGCTGCAGTTCCCCAACAGCGCGCTGTGCGAGGGAATCGTGATGCTGAGGGTGGAGAGCCCGCTGTATTTCCCCGGGGCTAATTTTGTGAGGCAGCGCGTGAAGAAGCTGTGTGATGCGTATGCGAGGGGATACCAGCAACCAGTCAAGGTGAGCAATTGTTCTAAAGAACCCTTACTAGTGCTGCAGTTCCCCAACAGCGCGCTGTGCGAGGGAATCGTGATGCTGAGGGTGGAGAGCCCGCTGTATTTCCCCGGGGCTAATTTTGTGAGGCAGCGCGTGAAGAAGCTGTGTGATGCGTATGCGAGGGGATACCAGCAACCAGTCAAGGTGAGCAATTGTTCTAAAGAACCCTTACTAGTGCTGCAGTTCCCCAACAGCGCGCTGTGCGAGGGAATCGTGATGCTGAGGGTGGAGAGCCCGCTGTATTTCCCCGGGGCTAATTTTGTGAGGAAGCGCGTGAAGAAGCTGTGTGATGCGTATGCGAGGGGATACCAGCAACCAGTCAAGGTGAGCAATTGTTCTAAAGAACCCTTACTAGTGCTGCAGTTCCCCAACAGCGCGCTGTGCGAGGGAATCGTGATGCTGAGGGTGGAGAGCCCGCTGTATTTCCCCGGGGCTAATTTTGTGAGGCAGCGCGTGAAGAAGCTGTGTGATGCGTATGCGAGGGGATACCAGCAACCAGTCAAGGTGAGCAATTGTTCTAAAGAACCCTTACTAGTGCTGCAGTTCCCCAACAGCGCGCTGTGCGAGGGAATCGTGATGCTGAGGGTGGAGAGCCCGCTGTATTTCCCCGGGGCTAATTTTGTGAGGCAGCGCGTGAAGAAGCTGTGTGATGCGTATGCGAGGGGATACCAGCAACCAGTCAAGGTGAGCAATTGTTCTAAAGAACCCTTACTAGTGCTGCAGTTCCCCAACAGCGCGCTGTGCGAGGGAATCGTGATGCTGAGGGTGGAGAGCCCGCTGTATTTCCCCGGGGCTAATTTTGTGAGGCAGCGCGTGAAGAAGCTGTGTGATGCGTATGCGAGGGGATACCAGCAACCAGTCAAGGTGAGCAATTGTTCTAAAGAACCCTTACTAGTGCTGCAGTTCCCCAACAGCGCGCTGTGCGAGGGAATCGTGATGCTGAGGGTGGAGAGCCCGCTGTATTTCCCCGGGGCTAATTTTGTGAGGCAGCGCGTGAAGAAGCTGTGTGATGCGTATGCGAGGGGATACCAGCAACCAGTCAAGGTGAGCAATTGTTCTAAAGAACCCTTACTAGTGCTGCAGTTCCCCAACAGCGCGCTGTGCGAGGGAATCGTGATGCTGAGGGTGGAGAGCCCGCTGTATTTCCCCGGGGCTAATTTTGTGAGGCAGCGCGTGAAGAAGCTGTGTGATGCGTATGCGAGGGGATACCAGCAACCAGTCAAGGTGAGCAATTGTTCTAAAGAACCCTTACTAGTGCTGCAGTTCCCCAACAGCGCGCTGTGCGAGGGAATCGTGATGCTGAGGGTGGAGAGCCCGCTGTATTTCCCCGGGGCTAATTTTGTGAGGCAGCGCGTGAAGAAGCTGTGTGATGCGTATGCGAGGGGATACCAGCAACCAGTCAAGGTGAGCAATTGTTCTAAAGAACCCTTACTAGTGCTGCAGTTCCCCAACAGCGCGCTGTGCGAGGGAATCGTGATGCTGAGGGTGGAGAGCCCGCTGTATTTCCCCGGGGCTAATTTTGTGAGGCAGCGCGTGAAGAAGCTGTGTGATGCGTATGCGAGGGGATACCAGCAACCAGTCAAGGTGAGCAATTGTTCTAAAGAACCCTTACTAGTGCTGCAGTTCCCCAACAGCGCGCTGTGCGAGGGAATCGTGATGCTGAGGGTGGAGAGCCCGCTGTATTTCCCCGGGGCTAATTTTGTGAGGCAGCGCGTGAAGAAGCTGTGTGATGCGTATGCGAGGGGATACCAGCAACCAGTCAAGGTGAGCAATTGTTCTAAAGAACCCTTACTAGTGCTGCAGTTCCCCAACAGCGCGCTGTGCGAGGGAATCGTGATGCTGAGGGTGGAGAGCCCGCTGTATTTCCCCGGGGCTAATTTTGTGAGGCAGCGCGTGAAGAAGCTGTGTGATGCGTATGCGAGGGGATACCAGCAACCAGTCAAGGTGAGCAATTGTTCTAAAGAACCCTTACTAGTGCTGCAGTTCCCCAACAGCGCGCTGTGCGAGGGAATCGTGATGCTGAGGGTGGAGAGCCCGCTGTATTTCCCCGGGGCTAATTTTGTGAGGCAGCGCGTGAAGAAGCTGTGTGATGCGTATGCGAGGGGATACCAGCAACCAGTCAAGGTGAGCAATTGTTCTAAAGAACCCTTACTAGTGCTGCAGTTCCCCAACAGCGCGCTGTGCGAGGGAATCGTGATGCTGAGGGTGGAGAGCCCGCTGTATTTCCCCGGGGCTAATTTTGTGAGGCAGCGCGTGAAGAAGCTGTGTGATGCGTATGCGAGGGGATACCAGCAACCAGTCAAGGTGAGCAATTGTTCTAAAGAACCCTTACTAGTGCTGCAGTTCCCCAACAGCGCGCTGTGCGAGGGAATCGTGATGCTGAGGGTGGAGAGCCCGCTGTATTTCCCCGGGGCTAATTTTGTGAGGCAGCGCGTGAAGAAGCTGTGTGATGCGTATGCGAGGGGATACCAGCAACCAGTCAAGGTGAGCAATTGTTCTAAAGAACCCTTACTAGTGCTGCAGTTCCCCAACAGCGCGCTGTGCGAGGGAATCGTGATGCTGAGGGTGGAGAGCCCGCTGTATTTCCCCGGGGCTAATTTTGTGAGGCAGCGCGTGAAGAAGCTGTGTGATGCGTATGCGAGGGGATACCAGCAACCAGTCAAGGTGAGCAATTGTTCTAAAGAACCCTTACTAGTGCTGCAGTTCCCCAACAGCGCGCTGTGCAAGGGAATCGTGATGCTGAGGGTGGAGAGCCCGCTGTATTTCCCCGGGGCTAATTTTGTGAGGCAGCGCGTGAAGAAGCTGTGTGATGCGTATGCGAGGGGATACCAGCAACCAGTCAAGGTGAGCAATTGTTCTAAAGAACCCTTACTAGTGCTGCAGTTCCCCAACAGCGCGCTGTGCGAGGGAATCGTGATGCTGAGGGTGGAGAGCCCGCTGTATTTCCCCGGGGCTAATTTTGTGAGGCAGCGCGTGAAGAAGCTGTGTGATGCGTATGCGAGGGGATACCAGCAACCAGTCAAGGTGAGCAATTGTTCTAAAGAACCCTTACTAGTGCTGCAGTTCCCCAACAGCGCGCTGTGCGAGGGAATCGTGATGCTGAGGGTGGAGAGCCCGCTGTATTTCCCCGGGGCTAATTTTGTGAGGCAGCGCGTGAAGAAGCTGTGTGATGCGTATGCGAGGGGATACCAGCAACCAGTCAAGGTGAGCAATTGTTCTAAAGAACCCTTACTAGTGCTGCAGTTCCCCAACAGCGCGCTGTGCGAGGGAATCGTGATGCTGAGGGTGGAGAGCCCGCTGTATTTCCCCGGGGCTAATTTTGTGAGGCAGCGCGTGAAGAAGCTGTGTGATGCGTATGCGAGGGGATACCAGCAACCAGTCAAGGTGAGCAATTGTTCTAAAGAACCCTTACTAGTGCTGCAGTTCCCCAACAGCGCGCTGTGCGAGGGAATCGTGATGCTGAGGGTGGAGAGCCCGCTGTATTTCCCCGGGGCTAATTTTGTGAGGCAGCGCGTGAAGAAGCTGTGTGATGCGTATGCGAGGGGATACCAGCAACCAGTCAAGGTGAGCAATTGTTCTAAAGAACCCTTACTAGTGCTGCAGTTCCCCAACAGCGCGCTGTGCGAGGGAATCGTGATGCTGAGGGTGGAGAGCCCGCTGTATTTCCCCGGGGCTAATTTTGTGAGGCAGCGCGTGAAGAAGCTGTGTGATGCGTATGCGAGGGGATACCAGCAACCAGTCAAGGTGAGCAATTGTTCTAAAGAACCCTTACTAGTGCTGCAGTTCCCCAACAGCGCGCTGTGCGAGGGAATCGTGATGCTGAGGGTGGAGAGCCCGCTGTATTTCCCCGGGGCTAATTTTGTGAGGCAGCGCGTGAAGAAGCTGTGTGATGCGTATGCGAGGGGATACCAGCAACCAGTCAAGGTGAGCAATTGTTCTAAAGAACCCTTACTAGTGCTGCAGTTCCCCAACAGCGCGCTGTGCGAGGGAATCGTGATGCTGAGGGTGGAGAGCCCGCTGTATTTCCCCGGGGCTAATTTTGTGAGGCAGCGCGTGAAGAAGCTGTGTGATGCGTATGCGAGGGGATACCAGCAACCAGTCAAGGTGAGCAATTGTTCTAAAGAACCCTTACTAGTGCTGCAGTTCCCCAACAGCGCGCTGTGCGAGGGAATCGTGATGCTGAGGGTGGAGAGCCCGCTGTATTTCCCCGGGGCTAATTTTGTGAGGCAGCGCGTGAAGAAGCTGTGTGATGCGTATGCGAGGGGATACCAGCAACCAGTCAAGGTGAGCAATTGTTCTAAAGAACCCTTACTAGTGCTGCAGTTCCCCAACAGCGCGCTGTGCGAGGGAATCGTGATGCTGAGGGTGGAGAGCCCGCTGTATTTCCCCGGGGCTAATTTTGTGAGGCAGCGCGTGAAGAAGCTGTGTGATGCGTATGCGAGGGGATACCAGCAACCAGTCAAGGTGAGCAATTGTTCTAAAGAACCCTTACTAGTGCTGCAGTTCCCCAACAGCGCGCTGTGCGAGGGAATCGTGATGCTGAGGGTGGAGAGCCCGCTGTATTTCCCCGGGGCTAATTTTGTGAGGCAGCGCGTGAAGAAGCTGTGTGATGCGTATGCGAGGGGATACCAGCAACCAGTCAAGGTGAGCAATTGTTCTAAAGAACCCTTACTAGTGCTGCAGTTCCCCAACAGCGCGCTGTGCGAGGGAATCGTGATGCTGAGGGTGGAGAGCCCGCTGTATTTCCCCGGGGCTAATTTTGTGAGGCAGCGCGTGAAGAAGCTGTGTGATGCGTATGCGAGGGGATACCAGCAACCAGTCAAGGTGAGCAATTGTTCTAAAGAACCCTTACTAGTGCTGCAGTTCCCCAACAGCGCGCTGTGCGAGGGAATCGTGATGCTGAGGGTGGAGAGCCCGCTGTATTTCCCCGGGGCTAATTTTGTGAGGCAGCGCGTGAAGAAGCTGTGTGATGCGTATGCGAGGGGATACCAGCAACCAGTCAAGGTGAGCAATTGTTCTAAAGAACCCTTACTAGTGCTGCAGTTCCCCAACAGCGCGCTGTGCGAGGGAATCGTGATGCTGAGGGTGGAGAGCCCGCTGTATTTCCCCGGGGCTAATTTTGTGAGGCAGCGCGTGAAGAAGCTGTGTGATGCGTATGCGAGGGGATACCAGCAACCAGTCAAGGTGAGCAATTGTTCTAAAGAACCCTTACTAGTGCTGCAGTTCCCCAACAGCGCGCTGTGCGAGGGAATCGTGATGCTGAGGGTGGAGAGCCCGCTGTATTTCCCCGGGGCTAATTTTGTGAGGCAGCGCGTGAAGAAGCTGTGTGATGCGTATGCGAGGGGATACCAGCAACCAGTCAAGGTGAGCAATTGTTCTAAAGAACCCTTACTAGTGCTGCAGTTCCCCAACAGCGCGCTGTGCGAGGGAATCGTGATGCTGAGGGTGGAGAGCCCGCTGTATTTCCCCGGGGCTAATTTTGTGAGGCAGCGCGTGAAGAAGCTGTGTGATGCGTATGCGAGGGGATACCAGCAACCAGTCAAGGTGAGCAATTGTTCTAAAGAACCCTTACTAGTGCTGCAGTTCCCCAACAGCGCGCTGTGCGAGGGAATCGTGATGCTGAGGGTGGAGAGCCCGCTGTATTTCCCCGGGGCTAATTTTGTGAGGCAGCGCGTGAAGAAGCTGTGTGATGCGTATGCGAGGGGATACCAGCAACCAGTCAAGGTGAGCAATTGTTCTAAAGAACCCTTACTAGTGCTGCAGTTCCCCAACAGCGCGCTGTGCGAGGGAATCGTGATGCTGAGGGTGGAGAGCCCGCTGTATTTCCCCGGGGCTAATTTTGTGAGGCAGCGCGTGAAGAAGCTGTGTGATGCGTATGCGAGGGGATACCAGCAACCAGTCAAGGTGAGCAATTGTTCTAAAGAACCCTTACTAGTGCTGCAGTTCCCCAACAGCGCGCTGTGCGAGGGAATCGTGATGCTGAGGGTGGAGAGCCCGCTGTATTTCCCCGGGGCTAATTTTGTGAGGCAGCGCGTGAAGAAGCTGTGTGATGCGTATGCGAGGGGATACCAGCAACCAGTCAAGGTGAGCAATTGTTCTAAAGAACCCTTACTAGTGCTGCAGTTCCCCAACAGCGCGCTGTGCGAGGGAATCGTGATGCTGAGGGTGGAGAGCCCGCTGTATTTCCCCGGGGCTAATTTTGTGAGGCAGCGCGTGAAGAAGCTGTGTGATGCGTATGCGAGGGGATACCAGCAACCAGTCAAGGTGAGCAATTGTTCTAAAGAACCCTTACTAGTGCTGCAGTTCCCCAACAGCGCGCTGTGCGAGGGAATCGTGATGCTGAGGGTGGAGAGCCCGCTGTATTTCCCCGGGGCTAATTTTGTGAGGCAGCGCGTGAAGAAGCTGTGTGATGCGTATGCGAGGGGATACCAGCAACCAGTCAAGGTGAGCAATTGTTCTAAAGAACCCTTACTAGTGCTGCAGTTCCCCAACAGCGCGCTGTGCGAGGGAATCGTGATGCTGAGGGTGGAGAGCCCGCTGTATTTCCCCGGGGCTAATTTTGTGAGGCAGCGCGTGAAGAAGCTGTGTGATGCGTATGCGAGGGGATACCAGCAACCAGTCAAGGTGAGCAATTGTTCTAAAGAACCCTTACTAGTGCTGCAGTTCCCCAACAGCGCGCTGTGCGAGGGAATCGTGATGCTGAGGGTGGAGAGCCCGCTGTATTTCCCCGGGGCTAATTTTGTGAGGCAGCGCGTGAAGAAGCTGTGTGATGCGTATGCGAGGGGATACCAGCAACCAGTCAAGGTGAGCAATTGTTCTAAAGAACCCTTACTAGTGCTGCAGTTCCCCAACAGCGCGCTGTGCGAGGGAATCGTGATGCTGAGGGTGGAGAGCCCGCTGTATTTCCCCGGGGCTAATTTTGTGAGGCAGCGCGTGAAGAAGCTGTGTGATGCGTATGCGAGGGGATACCAGCAACCAGTCAAGGTGAGCAATTGTTCTAAAGAACCCTTACTAGTGCTGCAGTTCCCCAACAGCGCGCTGTGCGAGGGAATCGTGATGCTGAGGGTGGAGAGCCCGCTGTATTTCCCCGGGGCTAATTTTGTGAGGCAGCGCGTGAAGAAGCTGTGTGATGCGTATGCGAGGGGATACCAGCAACCAGTCAAGGTGAGCAATTGTTCTAAAGAACCCTTACTAGTGCTGCAGTTCCCCAACAGCACGCTGTGGGAGGGGATCGTGATGCTGAGGGTGGAAAGCCCGCTGTATTTCCCCGGGGCTAACTTTGTGAGGCAGCGCGTGAAGAAGCTGTGTGATGCGTATGCGAGGGGATACCAGCAACCAGTCAAGGTGAGCAATTGTTCTAAAGAACCCTTACTAGTGCTGCAGTTCCCCAACAGCACGCTGTGTGAGGGGATCGTGATGCTGAGGGTGGAAAGCCCGCTGTATTTCCCCGGGGCTAACTTTGTGAGGCAGCGCGTGAAGAAGCTGTGTGACGCTTATGCGAGGGGGTACCAGCAGCCAGTCAAGGTGAGCAATTTAAGTGAGGTTGACACAGTCTTTTCGAGTGCGTGTGAGCATTGGAGCAGCGCGTGAAGAAGCTGTGTGATGCGTACGCCAGAGGGTACCAGCAGCCAGTGAAGGTGAGCCTGAGATGGACCCAGTTCCCAGGGTGAGTGATGAGTGAATGTGAGGGGAAGATGGTTCAGACTGCTGTCAGATCTTTGTGCGGCAGCGCGTGAAGAAGCTGTGTGATGCGTACGCAAGGGGATACCAGCAGCTAGTCAAGGTGAGCATGACTTACTTGTGCTGCCTCCACTTTTTGCTCATCCCACCCTCCTCTCTGCAGCACTGTGTGTTGAGTTTATCAGTCATGCACGGCATTGGTGTGACGGCCATCGAAGCCATGGGTGAATTGCAATACCCAATCCCACCTATTCTTTCCTGCACCTTCTGTCCCCTCGTCCTCCTCCCCTGCAGCACTGCGTGTTGGACCTATCAGTGATGCATGACATCGATGTGACGGCCATTGAAGCCATGAGGGATCTGCACCGCGACCTCACACAGATGGGCATCCAGGTGAGCTGACCCGGGTGATGTGAGTGGGTCAGGTTTGTCGGCCATAGAGTCCATGAGAGACCTGCACTCCCTCACTCCCTCACTTTCTCCATTCCATCCCCTTCCCTCCAATCCCTCTGCAGCTGTGTCTGGCAAGTGCCAACAGGGACGTGCTGAGGAAGATGTTTGACGCACAGCTGTTAGCAGAGATAGGCGAGCAGTGGCTCTCTGTCATGCCTCACTCCCTCACTCCATTCCCATCCCTTCCCTCTGCTATTCCCTCGACAGCTGTGTCTGGCGAGTGCCAACAGGGACGTCCTCCGCAAGATGTTTGACGCGCAGCTATTAGCAGAGATAGGCGAGCAGTGGCTCTTCGTCACTCCTGCTGATGCCGTGAAGCTTTGCCGTGCCGTGGCGCTCTCCCAGCCTGCTGCCAAGGAGACTGAGGAGATGCTCAACACTGTTCCGTCGTTTGATATTTAGGGGAATGGGGGATGTTGAGATGGAGGCATGGCAAGGCTTGGAAAATGTGCTGTGCTGTGGCGCTCTCCCAGCCTGCTGCCAAGGAGACAGAGGAGCTGTTGAACACTGTGCCGTCGTTTGATATCTAGGGGAATGGGGGATGTTGAGAGGGGCCCACAATGCGGTAACCTCTGCCGCGCCGTGGCGCTGTCCCAACCGGCTGCCAAGGAGACAGAGGAGCTGCTGAACACTGTGCCGTCGTTTGATATCTAGAAGGGTGTGGGGGGCGAGGGGGGAGTATAATGCTGGAAGCTGTGCTGTGGCATCGTGCTCTCCCAGCCGGCTGCCAAGGAGACTGAGGAGCTGCTGAACACGGTGCCCTCGTTTGATATCTAGGGGGGTGGGGGGCCATAATGCTGGAAGCTCGGCTGTGGCATGGCGCTCTCACAGCCTGCTGCCAAGGAGAGTGAGGAGCAGTTGAGTGGAGTGCATACCTCTGATATTTAGGGAACAAGGGGGTTTGAGACAGGTGCTCCATGCTGAAAGCTCTGTGGGAGCTGTTGAATAGTGTTCAATCAGACTTCTGATCTGATATCTAAATGCGTTGTGGCACGGCGATCTCCCAGCCTGCTGCCAAGGAGAGTGAGGAGCTGTTGAATGGATTCCATATTTTTTTATATATCTAGGGGTATGGGAGGTGGGCAATAATGCAGGAAGCTCGGCCTCGCTGTTGCGCTCTCCCAGCCCGCTCCCAAGGAGAGTGAGCAGAGTGCAGGCCTTTAATATCTAGGCATATGGGAGAGGTGTTGAGACAAATGCCACAGTGCAGTCTGTAAGCTTTTACACGCCATGGCAGAGTATTGTACCACAGTAAAGGAGAGGGAGGGGGGCCGCTGAGTGGCGTGCTTCTGGTGAGTATGTGCTGACAATCCTCTTACTGGGTGGCATTAGGTCAGCAGTCAGGTAGAAGGGTTATAATGCCTAATGACTGGATAATTATATATCTGGATAATTGACTGGGGGGTCTAATGCTGTGCTAAATAATGACAAGGTTCAGCATTGACCGATTAAGTGGTAGACAAATTAGCCTGCATGTGAATCAGACGGATACAATATCTCATTAATGCTTCCTACTAAAAGCTGTACAAAACGATACATACAGGCTGGCTTCACGATTTGACACTATCGGTGAACCACCCCTTTCACTTCCCATCTCCAGCACCCCACGCCTTACGAATCAGCGCCATGCTCACGCCCGCATGCCATTAAAGCTAGCTAACTTGCCAGATGAAAATTGGTGTTTATTTATCAAGTGGCTTCAGGTCAGAAGCGATGGGGAGAACCACGGGTTTGCCGTCATCCCCCTCCACCTCCACCCCGCGCGTGTACGTCAACAGCGGGTCGAGCGCGCTTTTGCTGAACGGGTCGCGCGGCACGCCCGCGCCCGCATTCGGCGGCGCCTTAGAAACATCCGGCGGGTTGTTAATCACCACCCAGCCGCCCAGGAGCCCTCCTAGAAGCAGAAACGTGAGTCCCGCGAGGAACGGGAAGCGGATCGCGAGGGGGTCGATCCCGAGTTGACCGAACACGCCCTTGCCTGTGATGACTTCCATCGTCAGCGCGCTTGCGAAGCCGACCATAGCGAGACGACCCACGCTGAGCTCCTGCAGCGATCCGAATCCGAACCACGTGCCCGGACCTCCGAGCCCGAACCCGGGGCTGGCGGGAGGTGCGGGAGAGGTGGCAGGCTCGGGCGTGGAGGGACTTGCGGAGTCCGCGCGGATGGCTAGACGCGTGGGTGCGGTACGGTTGGCAGGTGTGGAGAGGGATGTGGATCCTCTGTGTGCTGGGAGACGCACGGCGACGAGGGACGGGTTGGCGAGAGCGCGGCGATGGGTAGCCTGAAGGCTGCGCGCTCGTAGTGCTGCGGAGCTAGCTGCAGCAGAGGTAGAGACTGCGAGAGTTGCCATGGCTGAGAGAGTCGCGGTGAGTATGCAGAGGTGGATGGAGTAGGCTGGTGCTGTTGCTTGTTATTAGATCGCAACGTGATAGCTCCAGTTCTCTGCTGCAGAATCCTGCGTAAAGACTGGGGAGATGCTGAAGGTAGAAATATTGAAAGCTGTGAAGTGAAAGATGATTTGTGAAATCGAAATGGGAGGGAGGGAATTTATCTGTTGTGGCAGCAGGAAGCGGCTCGCTGGAGCTGGGTGCTATCGAATTTCGTCCGAGACGCGTGTCGGTCTGCCTACGTGCCACTAGAAAATGCGTGGAGTCACGAAGGTCAAACGCTGAGGTGGCTGCTTGGCCACGTCTCGTGTACCATGTGGAGCGGGGAGAGCGAGACACGCCGCATGTTGGGTGTGTCTGGTGAGCTGAACTACACGTTGGCAAATGCTTCGGCTCAGTTCGGACTCCGAAGTTCCCAGTCAGTCCCCGTTTGAGGTCAGGTTTCAAGGTGTGGGAGAATGTTCCTAGGCCAGGCCAGAACTATCGAGAACCTACACCGTCGATAAATCAAGGCATAATTGCATCCAAATAAGCGGGTGGCATTTTCCCTCTACCTTATAAACACTGCATTCACAAATCTCCAGAAATCATACGGTACGCATCCGCATAAATGTGTGGATTGGTGCTGACATCCTCAAAATGCCATAACAATCGATGGATTTCTAGGTGTATAACATAGCGCTAGGCTCAATATCCTACATAGACTGCTGCATTCACAACATAGCAGTCATCATTGCGGTCACCAAGTGCCTCTAGCGCCACCCCACTTGAACAGATGAGGCCACCATCAACCACTTCCACGCCAATGATTTCACCACTGCCAGCACACATGCCAACGTGCTTGATTAGTGCGTGAAGGTTCAGAACATGTGTATCAGCATCAGTGGACGTGCGTGGAGAGTAGGGAGGGAAGAGTGGTGGAGAAAGAAATGGAGAGAAGGAAGGAGAGAGTGAGTTAAACGGTTTGAGGAGCACGAGGAGGTGGAGGCGGATGGGGGGTAGTGGGGGGAGGAGGAGGGGAGGAGGGGAAGAGGGGGAAGGGGGGGACGGGGAGAGGGGGTGGGGAGGAGGGTACTCACTAGGGGAACACAGCCTTGACTTGGTCAATATCCAGGCCAGACTGAAGCTCCCTCGGCACGCCTAGGCGCACCTGAAGCTTCATCTGCTGCCACGATACACCTGGGATGGCACCTGGGGGTGGAAAGGAGAGCAGTAAGGCATGGAATAAACGCACACTTCTTAAGGGGGGTGCGGGTGGAGGTAGGAGTGGGTAGAGGAGGGGAGACTGAGGAAAGGAAACTATCATGGCTAGGACGTAATCAGGCCCAGTATGCCGAGCCCCCGATTGTGGAACGATTATGCCAGGCGACATTGCCTCAGAGACCATAAGGAAGAGCGAGAGATGGGAGCATCAAGATAACGCCCCCTACCTGTGCGGAAGGCGGGGATGGAGTTGGACGTGATGGCGTTTCGACACGCCTTTATCGCTGCCTTAGTGACATTCTGCCTGCCACGTGGCAAGCCAGGATTGGAGGGATGAAATAAGGGGTGAATAGATGGAAAAGTGCTGATCAGCGCGCCGTGAGGTAATGGATGCCTAGGATAAATAACAACACAACATCACTACATTGGACACGGTAGTGATAGCTCATTTGTTCTGTAAAGCTCGGAAAAGTACACCACCACCACTAATGCGCACCCATGCAAGGAATACGTAGACGCACCCGTGCTGGTCGTATCCCACACCCATCTCGACGAAGAGCACCTTCATGCGACTCCCCTCACTCGTCGCCTGAGACACCCCTGCGACGTCGCTCGCCTCTGCCATGGCGACAAATCGACGTCGCGAAGCGGACGAGACTCCGGACGATATCGCGGGCAAAAATCGCAGAGGCGCAGAGACTAGCAGATTCCGTGACGCGCTAAATGAACAGAGACCACAGCGTGGATTTACGGCGAATCTATGGCTGGTGGCTGAAGGAGAGAGAGGAATGCGATGGGCTGCAGCTAAAAGAGGCATTGCCTAATCGTCTGATCACCTAAACGTTGAGTCGCTTGATAGCCTACAAATCGTTTTAAAACCTGACCACCTAAGCGTTCGGTCGAATGACAGCTAGTCGGACTCTGATCGCCTGACTGTCTAATGGGCTCGTCCGATTGAATGCTTCCTACACTGGATCGCGGAAAATAGTATGCACCGCGTGAGTCTTGCTTGATTCAGAACTGCTCTGCTAAAAAAATCCCTAAACTGTGGGAATGCCGCCAACTTCAAGAATGTCATATGCCAATTGATTTTTGTGTGACTTATACTTGATAGAGGGTGACTATTTTTACATATAATACACATTGAAAAGCACACTCGAGTCGTATTTTGTATACGTGACTACATTCGCATTTGGTCACCTTCATCACATCTTGCGCTCATGTTTTCCCTGCACTCCTGCGCTCCTGCTCCATCTTTCGCGCAGCTCCTCATGTTCTCAAATCCTCGCGTGCTCCGGTGTCACTTCCCAATCGCCACTTCCGCGTATCCCTACATTTTTCTTGCCCGCTTCTCCGTCCTGCCTGCGCTGCTACCTTCGCTTCTCGGCTCGCGTTGACTCCTCGCCTTCGCTCCACCCCTTGTCTCCTAGCCGTTACTCCTATCCGTCGCCCGTTCGTTCGCTTCGTCCTTTCCCGCCATGATATCCGACAGGATATCAAAGGTCGTACTCATAGCGTGCGGCGTCGGCACAATAGCGGGTATGTTACTAGGGGGATCGTCGGACACACGTTCCAGTGTCATTGGCAGCTGTTTCTCTAGCGCCTATAAGCCTTTTCCCTTTCCGTTCGTGCTTCTCCCGCCCACCCCGCCGCCACTCTCTGCATTCTCGTGCACTTTCCATGCTCTCTCCGTTCCTCCCTCGCCCCCACTTCTCCCTGCTCGACAATTCTCGCACCCTCTCAGCCGCTATTCCCATCCACATTCTTCCCCTACCTCCCCGCTTCCTCACGCCACGCCAATTTCCCCCCGTCTCCCCTCCCGTCTCCAGCTCCCTCCAACCGCCACCCCTCCCCCCCTCTCTCTGCATCACTGTTTTCTCTCAGGCTACCTCGCCTTTCACCTTTCGTTAGTCTCAACCCCCACCCTCCTCCCTTTCCCTTTCCTTCCTGTAACCTCCCTTTCTCTTCGCGTCCCTTTACCACCCTTCTTCTTTCTTCACCTTTCCTTCCCCACCCTCCCCACGCACAACAACGTATCCCACTTACCAGGCCTGTTGCTGACGTCAGCAGATCGCAAGGCCCAATCACGAGCGCAGGGACCTGTGTCGGTGGAAGAGAAGCTGAAGCAACTCGATAAGAGCATGTCTAGATAGCAGCACATTGCGGTGGTGGGGTGTGGAGTTATGCTTTGGTGGTGGCTTTGGCTGGAGCGGAGAGCGGCTGTGTTTTATTCGGCTGGGAGGATAATAATGCTCGAGATAGCTGGGAGGTAAATAAAGGCCACTCGATTTTTTCAAGGTTGAAGTATAGGAGGGAGAACTCCCCTACTCTATCTTCGCACCAAGGAGAAAGCCACACATACCGTATTATTGTATGGTACTCTGGTGGGTCTGTGCCGTGATCCAGTACAATATCCCCCAAAATTTGAAGACTTGCACTGCAATACCGGTACCTCTTAAGTGCTGTCAATTTACATTGGTATGATATGGAGAGATGTTGCAACTCTAAGCCTTATTTTGAAATGATGTGGTAGTGTTTTAGAAATCTTCCTTACGCTGTTTCGAACTCACCATTCAACCTCGTCGTTCTCCCCTCAGCTCAAATGCACCAGCGCAGCAACCCCCCCAACACCACCATTCACTCCCCCTCGATCCTTGACAATCCGCCTTTTCTCGTAGCTCTGCATCCACGGCGGAGCTCCGCCCATTTACGCCTGGCATCTTGATCGGACGGCCCAGTTTTCACTGCAATGGCGGGTGGTTTGGCAGCGCTCGCGGAGGTGTCGCCCGCGAAAGAGAAGATCGTATTGGACGAGGCTGATTGGAACGCGATTCTCGACGCCATGCGGCCGTACGAGAACCGTACGCCCAATGACACGACATTCCGTACGCCGAACCGTACGCCGAACGGTACGCCGGCGGAGAAGAAACGGAACGGCACGACGAGCGTCGTCCGGAAAGCAGCCAGCGCTGTCAAGAAGACACTCAGCTCGATCACTGTAACGAAGACGAGGCTTATAACGAAAAAGAACACGCTAACGAGGACAACCGAGGCGGAAGGGGGGCCATCGCCTCCCGCCAAGCGTAGAAAGCTCGATAGCGCGGGTCAGGATCAGACTGGCAAGGGGGGCGGAGAGGAGGGAGAAGCAGGTGCGAAAAGTAGCAAGGAGGGGGAGAAGCAGAGCGTATGGTGGTCATTCAAACTGCCGGAAGTGAGTCTCAAAGACCCTAATAAATCGCTAATGAGTGAGCTAGTGACGCGGAAGATCGGCGGAGGTTCAGGGGTCAAGGACGGGGGTTTAGCTGGGAAGAATGTGAACGGTAAGGGCAAAGGCGCAGCTAATGCACCATCAGCAGCGGTGGCGGCAGCGGCAGCAGCGGCGGCGGCAGCGACGTCACAGAAGCGGAAACTACCGTCGTGGGCGGAGGGGAAGGGGCCGGGGGCAGCGGTGGTGAAGGGCGCGGATCAAGTAGTGGCGGCCCCCGGCCACGCGCGCGACTTTTCCTTCCGCCGCGACGTGCAAGGTGCGAGCATTGGGTTTGATGGTTTGGTGCAAGGGGGAAAGGGGGGAATGGGGAAAAGGGGGAGTGGGGAAAGGCCGGGGGCAGCGGAGGTGAAGGGCTAAGATCAAGTAGTGGCGACCCCGGCCTCGCTCGCGACTTCTCCTTCCGCCGCGACGTGCAAGGTGCGCCGGGTTTGGTTGGGACTCGCGAGATTTGTACCCTCTCTGTTTCCTCTCTTGCGTCCCCATCCTTAACCCCTCTCTCCCCCTCTCTTTCCCCTCTCCTCCCCCTCTCCTCCCCGCCCCCTCTCCCCACTTCCCCACCCTTCCTTTCCTTCTCCTCCTTGCAGCAACGTCACTCTTCCGTTCCATACCAGTGCTCGCACAAGACATATACGCGCGCTTCCCCGGGAAGGTGGTGTACCGCCGTGAGCGTAACGGGGTGGAGGCAGCAGCGAAAGAGCTCTACGCGGCTGTGAAGAACGGTAAGGATATAGGGTTGCTGGTATAGAACTAAATATCTTGTAGGTATGATGGGAAGGTGGTGTACCGCCGCGAGCGCAACGGGGTGGAGGCAGCAGCGAGGGAGCTCTACGCGGCTGTCAAGAGCGGTATGGGTTAGGGTTAGGGTGGCGAGTTCAAGATGTAGGGTTTCAGGTGTCAGTCAGGTTCAGGTTGTGGAGCTGTAGGTGTGGTGTATCGCCACGAGCGCAACGGAGTGGAAGCAGCAGCAAGGGAGGGAGCTCTACGTGGCTGTGAAGAGCGGTGAGGTATCAGCAGCAAGGGAGCAAGGGTTCGTGGTGTAGAGTCTTGTGGATTTGATTTTATTTGATGGGAAGGTGGTGTACTGCTGCGAGCGCAACGGCGTTGAGGCAGCAGCAAGGGATAAAAAGCTGCTGTCAAGAGCTGAGGGCTTCACGGCTGGTAGGGTTAAATTGATTGTGTTTAGATTGGCTGAATCAGTAGGGCCTAGGACGTTGGGTTCCGGTGTTGGACTGGTCTGTGGGTGTGCTGTGGCTGGAAGGAAGTGCAATAAATCGATTTTTGAGTCGACTAAAAAATCGACTCATCACACCTGTGGGTGTGCTGTGCCTGGAAGGAAGCGCGATGGTGGGGAGGCAGCAGTGAAAGGGCTCTATGCGGCCGTAAGAGACGTTTGTTGAGGCGCCTAAAAAATGGGCGCTACACGGCTGTAAGAGCGGTAGGCACTGGAGACTTTTGAGTCGACTCAAAAGTCACCAGGCGCCTCAAAAATGGGCTTGCATTGCAACGCTGATTCTCACTCACCTGCTTTTGTGACCCTCTGCCCCTCCCTCTCCTCTCCTTTTTCAGGCGCCAACGGCAGCAGCGGCAAAGTGGCGGTGGGGCTGGACTGCGAGTGGACTCAATTCGCCTTCCCCTTTCTAGGTCTTTATGTTTCACACCCCTCTGCTCCTCCCTCTCCTCTCCTCTCCTCTTTCAGGCGCCGACGGCAGCAGTGGCAAAGTGGCGGTGGGGCTGGACTGCGAGTGGAAGCCCACGTGGGGGAAAGGTGAGGTGGTGGGGTGAGTTGGGGGGATGATGTGTGCACGACCTTTTCTTCTGCCTCCCTTCTGCCCCTTCTCGAATGGACATATCTTTAGTGGCTCTTTCTCTCACCCACCTCCCATGCTCATTGCTCTCTCCTCTCCCCCGCCCCCTCCCCCCCCACAACCCCCACCAGGCCCGGAGAACCCCTGTGCGCTCTTACAGCTCTGTGCCAACGCGGACGTCTGCTATCTCTTCCATCTCAAGTTCACCGGTGTTCCCGAGACTCTCCGTGCATTGCTCAAGGATGCGAGTGTGGTCAAGGTGCGTGTGTTGCTCTGCTGTTTCTCATGCATATGTGCATTTCTTTTCTTATCCCTACGTGCATTCCCCCTTCCCTCTTCTCCGCGTATCGCTCAGTGTGTTGCACTGCCTTCTCTCATGCATATGTGCGTTTCTTTTCTTATCCCTACGTGCATTCCCCCTTCCCTCTTCTCCGCGTATCGCTCAGTGTGTTGCACTGCCTTCTCTCATGCATATGTGCATTTCTTTTCTTATCCCTATGTGCATTCCCCCTTCCCTCTTCTCTGCGTATCGCTCAGTGTGTTGCACTGCCTTCTCTCATGCATATGTGCATTTCTTTTCTTATCCCTACGTGCATTCCCCCTTCCCTCTTCTCCGCGTATCGCTCAAGGATGCCAGTGTGGTCAAGGCGAGTGCGAGTTTCAAAGACCACTCTCCATTCTCGTCTCTGCCCTTCCTTCGTCCATCCCTCCCCTCCGCTCATCCCTCCGCTCATCCCTCCGCTCATCCCTCCGCTCGTACCTCCCCTCGTACCTCCCCTTTCGTCCCTGCCCTTTCCTTCCCTATTCTCTTCTCATTCTTCTCCTCTCTTTCCTCTCCTCTTGTGCCTCTCCTCTCCCTTCTGCCCCTGCAGACAGGTGTAGGTGTGACAGAGGACGGCCGCAAGCTGAGGAAAGATTTCGGTGTTGAGGTGAGTAGTGGTGGGTGGTTGGGTGGGTGGGTGGGAGGGGAGAGTCGGCTTGTGCGTGCGTGCAACCATGGCTATGCACCTGTGTTCGTATACATAGGTGTATGGGCTCGTGTTTGTATGCACGTGTGTGTTTCTGCATGCACGTGAGCAGGTGAATGGGCAGGTGAGTGGGCAGGTGAGTGGGCAGGTGAATGGTCAAGTGAGTGGGCTGGTGGACTGTTGTTTCTCTCTGCTCAGAGGAGGGTGGGCAAAAGAACGTCCTTGTTTTTGACGCTCAGGAAATGGTGGGGCTCAAGGCACTTATGCTCACCCTCCGCTTGTGCATGCTGCGTGTGTGTGTTTCTGCATGTGCATTGGCAGGTGAATGGGCTGGCGGACTGTTCGCCTCTAGCACAGGAGAAAGCTGTGGTGCCAGCCTGAGGGACTGCAGATGGTGGGACTTAAGACACTCGCCCACCTTTTGTGCATGTATTCAGTTCATCCACATGTGCACATGCGCAGGTGAACGGGCTGGTGGACTGTTCGCCTCTGGCACAGGAGAAGGCAGTGGTGCCGGATGGAGGGCAAATGGTGGGGCTCAAGACACTCACCCGCCTTGTGCTGCAGAAAGAGGTGAGACTTGCAGGCGGCTTTTGGTTGGGAATGCCCTTGTGAGTGCACTCAGAGGTTGCTTCGGCGATGGTGGTTTTGAAGACACTCACCCGCCTCGTGCTGCAGAAAGAGGTGAGCTGCTGTGTTGCTGGGTGTGCTGACCCTTGTTCATCCACACGTGCATGCTCAGGTCAGATGAATGTGTTTCCTTTGAGAATTGTGAAAAGCACAGGTTTTGCTCACTGCAGCCACTCCCCCAATGCAGCTTGCCAAGCCCAAAGCGAGTGCAGTGCAGCAACCTTCCTGTTGCCCCACCTCCCACCCCCACCCCCAACCACAACCCCAAACCCTTTCTTAAACCCGCAGTCCAGATCCCTAAGCCGAGTGCAGCGACTGGGAGGCCTTCCCTCTGACCAACGCTCAGCTGAACCACGCGTCAACATATCTGCATTTCATCCCTACTTCCTTCTTACCCCACCCTCCCACCCCCACTCCATCCTCCACCGCCCCCATGCAGCTCGCCAGGCCAAAAAGAGTCATGGGCCAAAAAGCCAACCCTCCCAGTTGCTGCAGCAGCAATTGGGAGGGCTGGCTTTCCTCTGACTGACGCCCAGCTGATCCACGCAGCTCGCCAAGCCAGTTGCACTGGCTGATCCCACTTCGGGACCAGTCGTTGGAAGTGCAACAGGAGGGCTTTCCTCTGACCGACGCCCAGCTGATCTGCCCATGAGAATCTGCATCTCATCTCCCCCTTTCCTGTTCCCCCACCCTCCCAACCCCATCCCCACTCCAACCTCAACCCCATCCCCATCCTCCACAGTAAATGCAGCTAGCAAAGCCAAAACGAGTGCAGTGCAGCAACTGGGAGGGCTTTCCGCTCACAGACGCCCGGCTGATCTACGCTTCAACTTCTGCACTTCAACTCTCCCTTGTTGTTCCCCCCCACCCCACCCTCCGACCCCCAACCCCATCCTCCACCACAAATGCAGCTAGCAAAGCCAAAGCGAGTCCAGTGCAGCAACTGGGAGGGCTTTCCTCTCACAGACGCGCAGCTCATCTACGCGTCAACTGTCGCTGAGAATCTTCCAGGAACTTGACGCCATGCCTTTTACACCTCTCTCCCTCCTAACCTTTGCAGCTCGCCAAGCCAAAAAGAGTCCAGTGCAGCAACTGGGAGGGCTTTCCTCTGACCGACGCCCAGCTAATCCACGCTTCAACCTCCGCACCTCATCCCACCCTGCCATTGCGTCCCCCCGCCCTCATTCCAACCTTGTTTCAAGCCCCACTGAATGCATCTCGCCAAGCCAAAAAGAGTCCAGTGCAGCAATTGGGAGGGCTTTCCCCTGACCGACGCCCAGCTTATTTACGCGTCAACAGACGTGTTTGTGTCGCATCTTCCAGGAACTTGACGCCATGCCTTTTACCTTTTACACCTCTCCCCCTCCTAACCTTTGCAGCTCGCCAAGCCAAAGAGAGTTCAGTGCAGCAACTGGGAGGGCTTCCCTCTCACAGACGCGCAGCTCATCTACGCGTCAACAGACGCGTTTGTGTCGCTGAGAATCTTCCAGGAACTTGACGCCATGCCAAGCCCGTGGCAGGGAGGGATTAACGGGCACGTGTCGGCAGCAGTGGCAGAATCTGCGGTGGCTGTGTCGGTGGCAGCTGCTGCAGCAGCAGCAGCAGCAGGAGAAAGAGAAGAGGATGACAAAAAGGAGAGGCAGGAGAAGACGAATAAAGAGACAGTAGGAAAGCAGAAGGGGAAGGAGAGGGAGGAAAAGAAGGGGAAGGAGGGGGAGGAAAAGAAGGGGAACGAGGGGAAGAAGAGCGCGAATGGGAAGGAGGGGCAAGCAGATGTGGAAGCAAAGACGAGGAAGAAGAGCAAGAGGAAGCAGGAGGCACCCGAGGAGGGCAAGAGCGCAGCAAGAGCAGATGCTGGTGAAAGCAAAGCAGCAGAGGCAGACGGACCGAGAAAGAAGAGAAGAAAGCAAGGGAGCGCAGGGGAAGGCAAGGGTGATGGTGCGAGCAGCGGCAGCAAGGTGGCGAGCTTGAAAGAGGCTGCTGCAGACACAGCGAGCAGGTGGATGGAGCTGATTAAGAAGGCCACCACAAGACAAAAATAGCCACCAGTACCGGCTACTTGCTACCAGCCAAACAAAGCTACCACACTTTGGAGGTGCCTCACACAGCGAGCAGATGGATGGAGCTGATTAAAAAGGCCACCACACGGCAAAAGTAGCAGCAAGGAGAAGACGGATGATGTGCATTCTACATTCCAAGGAGCTGACGTGGCGTCACAGCAGGAAATGCAGAATGACTCATTTCGTTCTTGCCATGACTGCTTGTAACAAGCTAATGTTACGTTTTTTTTGTATTATTACCTGCCAGTATTCACATGGCTGGGTTCTGATACCTCTGTATTTCCATGGAAACCGACCTATGTATTAGTTACTCAAGTATTGGCGTCAACGGATTGCATAAAAGACACCCTGCAACAGGGTTAAGGGCGATAGGCACATGAACATGAACATGAGCATTTTACACAACGATACGTACAACTTTGGCTTCCAACCAACTATTCCACCTCATCACTCTACCGCTTGACTCTTGCTGACTGCTCTGTGGCTCGCTTTGATGGCAGATCCTTCCCCATCCTACTCTGCACTTCCCTCACCTGCTCCTCCCTCCTAAAGCATGAAGCAATCGAAACGCACCACTCTATAATCTTGAGGGCAGATCCTCCCCCATCCTCCTTCCCGCTCTCTTCACCTGTCCCTCCTGTCCTGAGCAATAAACAACTGAAACTACACCACTCTATCACTTGACTCTTGCTGACTGCCTGGTGGCTCGCCGTGGTGGCAAATCCTCCCCCATGCTCCTTCCCACTCCCTTCCCCTGCACCTCCTCACCTTGCACCACCCCTCTGTACCCCTTCTCCCTGCCTTCTCTGGCTCCAGATTCAGTCTCACATCCTCCCTTCCATCTTCCTTCCGTGCCTTGCTGATTCCCATCTGCTGCTTCTCCCTTCCTACCCTTTCCAACCCTTCCTTTCTCCACTGCTGCACACTGATCGTTCTCCTTCATGACACCCCCCTTCTTCTTTCCCCGACCCCTTCCCTCTCCATCCTTCCCACACAGGCCCGCCTCCTCACTCTCACCCTCCTCTGTTTCTCTCATCCTCTCCACCTCACTCTCACAACCCCTTCCACCAACCTCTCCCCCTTCCCTCGTCAATCTCTCCTGAAATCTCATACTCCCCCCACCACCAACCCTCCCCTTCCCCACTCCATCCCCATCCTCCTCCTGTGCCCCCCTGCCACGCCCCACGCCCCTCCTCTCTCTCACTTTCGGCACACTAACAGTTCTCAGGATAGGCGTCTTGTTCCCATGCCCTTCCACATCCCTAATAATAGCTGCTGCAGTCGCTGCTGCCTGTACTGCTGCTCGTGCTCGCTCCTCCTCTCGCTGCTCCTCTCCTTCCTCTTCCTCTCCCCGCCCTTCCCCTTCCTCCTCTGTACCTGCCAAACCGCTCCTGCCGAACCTCTCGTCTCCGAGCCTGCTTCTGCTTCGGGATCTGGTCCGGCTGGGAGGATTGGGAGTGACAAAGAGTGGGCTGCACAATGTGCTTGCAGATAGCCCGTTGGAGTGAGCAGCAGCAGCAGCGGCAGCAGCAGCAGCCCCAGCAGAGGCAGAAGCTGTAGCAGCATTCCCAGTAGATGCCATAGCAGCAGCCGCAGCAGCAGCAGGAGTGCCAACAGCAGCAGCATCATCACTGCCACCTGCTGAATTTTTGTCCTTGGTTGGAGTTTGAAACTCGGCTGACTTTCTCCTTCTCCTTGCCCCTGCTTCCGCTCCTCCACTCCCTTCCTCTCCACTCTCCTCTCTCGCCACTGCTGCAGCATCAGCAGCTTCAGCAGCACCAGCAGCCACAGCAGTAGGTGTAGCAGCAGTGGCGGCAGCAGTGGCAGCAGCAGCTGCAGCAGCTTCCCCTTCACCTCCACTACTACCACCACCACCACCAACACCACCAGCAGCAACACCACCACCAACACCACCAGCAGAATCACTACCGGCAGCCCTGGCAGCAGCAGCAGCTCTAGCCCGTGCAGCCTCGTGCTTCTGAATGTCATACACAAGCTCTTTCCCCAGCTGCGGATCCGCCGCTAGCAAGTCCTCAATCTCCTCTTTATACTCCTTGAACAGGCACCGCAGACACGCCATCAGCGCCCCCTGCAGCGGGCTGTTCCGAGCCTCCAGCAGCCTCTTGAGCTCGATCAGAACAGGAATGGTGTTCTCTACCAGGTTTTTCTTCATCAGCTGAGTAACCACCCGCCCCTTCAGAGCATTCGCCAACGCCCCTGCTCCTCCTCCGCCTCCTCCTCCTCCTGCTCCTGCTGCTGCCCTCCCACCACCACTGCCACCTCCTCCCCCTGCAACCCCGCCTGCGCTTCCCCCTGCCTCCTCCTCCCCATCCTCCTCCGCACCTGCGGCCTTGCCTGAGCCAGGGCGCATCTCCTTGCATGAGAGCACGTCTAGGGCGTCCCCCACCACGGCTTGCACCGAGTGGCAGGATAGCGGCAGGGCGCCGTCTAGTAAGGGCGCGAGCACCTGTTGGTAGGGGAAGGGTTTGGAAGCAGGATATAGTGGTGTGAGAATAGGGAAGTTGCAACCAGATCCACCATGTAATGTCCAGGGCGTCCCCCACCGCGGCTTGCACCGACGGGCAGGAGAGCGGCAGGGCGCCGCCTAGTAACGGTGCGAGAACCTGTTGGTAGGGAGGAGGTTCGGAGGCAGGATATAACGTTTAAAGAATGGCAGTGTTGCAACAAAACCAAATGTTCAGAGCGCCCCCCACCACGGCTTGCACCTAGGGGCAGGAGAGCGGCAGGGCGCCGCCTAGCACCAGCACGTGTAGGCAGGGGAGAGGTTTGCAGACAGGATGAAGTGGTGTGAGAACAGATATTTTATACCTATAGGCAAGGTTGCGAGCATGTGTAGGAGGGAAAATGGGGAATAACGTGAGTACCAAGGTGTCTACAGGCAATGGAGAGAGGTAGAGGTTTGTGTGGTGGATAGCAGCAGCTGCAGGCAGGGGGACGAGGAGCAATGAAAGCGATGCTAGAGGCTCCTGCAGACTCTAAGAGTACATTAGCGTGAGCAACGGCCCTACCTGAAGACAGAGCTTGGCGGGGAGGGGCCCACCTGTAGGCAGAGCTTGGCAGAGAGAGCGAGATGGTGCTCTCGAGCCATGAGGCGGAGTAGAGTGCGGTACACAGTGGTTCGTGCCGCGTGGCGAGATGGGCCGCTGGTGGGGAAGAGGACGGAGGGGAGACGAGGGGAGGGAGTGGAGAGAGGAGGTTATGAGATGAAGGGAATGTGGTGCACAGTGGTTCTTGCTGCATGGGGAGAGGGTTGTCGGCTGGAAATGAGAGAAGGTGAGACAGAATCCAGGGGAGGAGATGGAAACGGAGGGGAGACAGGAGAGTGGAATTTTGTAGAAAAAAGCAGAGAGGAAAAATCTTGCTAAAGATTTTTGTAGAAAAAGCAGAGTGGGAGCGGTGATTAGGCATGGGCACACGCAGATGCTGCAAAAACACGAACAGAGAAACATGAAGGGCCAAAGCGGGGCAAGAACCAGCCCTCCTCCTCACCGCAATAAAAAGTGCTCTAATTCTCCATCCAAGCCCTACCTGCACCCCTCCCACTCCGGCCCCTTCTCTTCCCAGGCCTCCCCTCCTCCTCACAGATACCCTCACCGAGTTTTGAGACGTCTCAAAACTCACCTCAATGAGAAGCGCTCTAACTCCTCATCCAAGCCCTCCCTCTCTGCCCCTGCGCCCCTCCCACTCCGCGCCCCTCTCTTCCCTGGCCAGCCATTTCCCTCATGGATGCCCTCGACGGGAGAACTTGAATTGGGGCAGTTGGGTTGCGATGGATCGCAGGGGGCAGCTTTGGAGGAGCCAGGATTGGACGAGCTAGGGTTGGCTGAGGCAGGGTTGGGAGGGCTGGAAGAGGAGGGTCGAGGGCCGGAGGAGGGGAGAGGCGGGGCGGTGGTGGTAGAGGAGGGGGCGAAGGGGCAGGCGTTGAGTGCAAAGAGGGCTTCGATGAAGATGTTGTAGGGCACGAGGGGCACACGGCCTGTGGAGGGGTGGAGAGAGGTGGAGATGGGTGGAGATGGGTGGAGAGAGATGAACTGGGTTGCGGGAGTAGGTGCACTGGGGCAACGGATGTGTGGATTGAGGTGCAAAGAGGGCTCCACATGAAGAAGCTGTAGTAAGGGTGGGGAGAGGTGCCGGTGAATCGCAAATAATCACCATGACTGATTTGGGCAACATGCGATTGAGACTCCGTCCACAATCGAGAAAGCAGCATGTGCACCACAGCAGCAACAGCTCATCCCTCTCCCTCTCAAATGCTCCCTCTGCAGTAGCCCTGCCAGCACCCACACTCCACTCACACAACCCCTCCCCACCCCTTCCCACCCCTCCCAAGCCCATTTGCCCTCTTTTTGACTCACGAGGAACGACATGTGTGAAGAGGTAAAGAGCCACCTCTCTTATTGCCTGTGATTCGTCCACAATGCACAGCAGCACGCGCAGCACCAGCGCCCCGCGCCACTTGACATAGTCCCTCTGCAGCAGCCCCGCCAGCAGCACGAGCGTCTGGCGCCTCACGAGCTCACAGGGGTCGCGCAAGCAAGCGGAGATGCAGGGCACGTGGGGGTCGACGAGGGCGGTGTAGCGCACACAGAGGTCTGTGAGAATGATGACCAGGTTGTTGCGCACTGAGGGGAGTGGGCTGCGCTGCAGCTCCTGTTGGGTTCGGGAGGAGGGTTGGAAGAGGATTGGGAGAGGGTTGGCAGAGGGTTGAGAGGTCGGGAGAAATCCGGAAGGCTTGAAAGCACATGGTGGCTGACGAGAGTGGTGCAGCGCAGCGCATACCAAATCGTTGCAGATTGACTGGAGGACCGTCAATCTGCACTGAAACAGAGGAAAGGGAAAGCGGCAAAGGAGGAGGTTGATGCTTGCCTGGACGAAGAGAGGCACGCAGGTCTTGGCGAGTGCGTGGTCCACCAGAGAGAAGCGACCCAGAGCCAGCCACCCATGCGCTAACACAGGCACTCGCACTGCTGCTGCTGCCACTGCTGCTGCTGCTGCAGTCCCAGGGTTGGTTGCAGCTGCAGCAGCACCACTGGGTACTGGTGGTGCGGCTGAGGAATTGGAATTCCCCAGAAGCAGCTCCAGAAGGCAATGAAATGCTTCTTTCAGCGCACTCTGCAGCAACACCAGCTGCTCACACTCGCTCGCTCCCTTTCTGCTGCCCCCGCTTCTTCCCTTGCTCTTCCCGCTCCCCCCTTGCCTCCCACCAGCAGCAGCTCTTTCAACACCAATATCACTATCAACACCAGCCACAGCTGCAGCAGTCGCAGCAGCAGCGGGAGCCCCAGCACCTGAAGCAGCAGCAGCAGCGAGTGTCTCTGCGAGTTCCCCAGCAATGAGTGCCAGCTGCCCGCACACAAACACAGCACACTCGACCTCCTGCCCCCAGGGCTGCCCGTCTGCCCCCTCCTCCAGCTCCTCCTGCTGCTTCTGCTCCTTCTCCGTCGCCTCTTCCTCCTCCTCTGGCTGCCCCTCCTGCTCCTCCCGCTCCTCCTCTCCTCGCTGCTGCTGCTGCTGCTGCTGCTGCTGCGCCCTCACTTCGTCCCTGTTCTGGTCAGGGCTTCCCTGCCGGCTGCTACCTGCTTTGACCTGGGATTGTATGATCCCTGTGGCTTGCCGGCACAGCTCCAGACACCAAGCAGCAATCGTTGCTTCCGGTAATTCGTTCACACAAGGTGCTTCTTCCGCTGTCATACCACTTCCTGGGACAGGGATGCTGCTATTGCTGTTCCTGTTGCTGTTGCGATTGCTATTTTTGCTGCTGCTTCTGCCACTACTCCTGCTGCCGGTTGCTGCATGTCGATTGAGAGTGGCAAGAGCGACCATGTGCACCCCAGCCTGTTTGCAAGAAAGAAAACGAATAGAGCGAACACATTAGTGGAAGAAAGCAAATAAGCGAAGTAATCCCATTTTCAGCTGTTGCCAGACCAGCAAAGAAATCTGCTAGCTTGGATAGGCCACTCACTCACTATAAATGGCTTGGTTAGAGCATGGCTACCGGCTGGATCATGGCGAGCGTAGAAACGAGTAAGCAGGTGGAGCCTGGGGCAACCACCACGATCTAACGTGCTGCACAACAGGACAAACCGGGCCACTTGCACAGCCTCACCTCGTCTGGGGACAGCTGGAAGCTGCGCAGGTTGTGCAGCAGCCCTGCCGCCACGTCAGCAGCTTTCTCCCCTGTGATCCGTGCAGCCACGTTGCAGAGCGCCTTGAGCACGTGCACTTGCGCCTCTCTCTCCTGCCCGTCCAAAACCTGTGCCTCCCTCAGCTGCCCGTCCAACACCTGTGCCTCTCTCTCCTGTTCGGGACGCCCTGGAGAGACCAGCTCGGGACGAGAGGCTTCGTCATGACTTCTGTTTCCGGCTTCCTGCTGCTTCCTGCTGTCCCTCCATCTGGAAATCAAGAACTCCCATCTGACCCCCTGTGGCGAGAAGGAGGTGACTTCCAGCAGTAACAGCCATGCGCCCCTCACCACCCACCTCCACACCCTGCTGGGGTTGCCCCCCTTCACCCCTGCTGCCTTTCCTACTGAACTCCCCTTCCCATTCGGCTGCTGCTGCTGCTGCTTCTGCTGCTGCTGCTGCTGATGCTGCTGCTGCTGCTGCGCGTTCTGCCACCCCTCAGCTGCTTCAATCACCGCCTGAAGCCCTTCCACGAGCCTCACGTTGAGCGCGTTTCGCCGTGCCAGAACCGCACATGCGCGGTGCAGCAGCGGCACCACCGACGAGCTCCCTTGACCAATCGCCATCAGCCACGCCACTACACTTCTCACTGACCCTTCAGCTGGCCCTCCTGCTGCTGCTCCTGCTTCTCCTCCTGCTGCGTTTCCTCCTGCTGCTCCAGCACCCTCTCCCCCAGCGGCCCGCGCACACACCTCACACACTCCTTCCCCCTCACAGAGCACAGGGGCAGGAGGCACCCCCCTCCTCCCCACACACACGTGCAGGGGCCTATCCTTGCACAGACTCATCCTCGAACCAGCAGAGGGGCGGGGAGACGCGGAGATTAGGCCGAGGGGTTGGAGGAGCAGGGAGGAGAGGAGGTCTAGCGCCTGGTCTTGCACAGTGGCCTCGTTGTCGAGAATGAGAACGAGCGCGGACTGCAGCCACTTGGCGCGCAGCCACACGTGGCCTGGGTTTGACATGGTCAACTGAGAGGACACGGGGGGGGAAGTGGAAGGGAAGGAGGAACGAGGGGAGGAGGAGATGAGAAGGTGAGCAACCCGGCCCTCACACTGCCTAACGAGGAGTAGGAATGGACAAGACAAACACTGAAATCCAGTAATGGGTGCCCTATGTTGGCCTATGGTGACCATACCTTGGACAACGCAGTGAGAGCCACCCTGCGGACGCTCAGCAGCGAGTCAGAGCACAGCTCCCCAATGGCATCCACCAGCTCCTCCCTCAGCAACTGTTGGCCTATGGTGGCCTATGGTGATCGTACCTTTGACAACGCGTTGAGAGCCACCCTCCGGACGCTCAGCAGCGAGTCGGAGCACAGCTCCCCAATGGCATCCACCAGTTCTTCTCTCAGCGGCAGCCTCGACAGCCCAACAATTTCCTCCAGAGCCCCCACCGCCGCCTTGCGCACGAGCCCCTTCTCGTCCTCCAAACGCCTCCTCACCATGCCCAACACCTCCTCAACGCTCAGAACCGACCCACCCGTCCCAGCTCCCAATGCTTCTCCAGACTCCGATTCCCCAATCAGCCCGGACCCACGGCCAATACTTGCGTCAGGCTCGGCTTGTGCATGAGTATGAGGATGAGTAGGAGCATGGGCATGGGCATGAGCATGACCAGCAAGTACAGCGTCTAGGAGCGAGGGGCGTCCTTTCAGAATCCGAAGGGTCGCAGTGATCGCCACAAGGGCTCGGGCGCGCACAGTGGGACTGGCGTCCGAGGCCCTACGGAACATGAGCTCCAAGCAGCCGCCAACACGGCTGATCAGAACGTCTCTCACGTTTCCATTCCCGCTGCTATCCCCAGATTCTCTGCTATCATTCCCAACCCCCGTGCCATTTCCACTCTCCCTGCCACTGTGAGCATCTCCTTCCGAAGCTGACCCCTGACTCAGACTCACTTCATCCCCCTTGTCGCCCTCTCCATCTCCCCCCTCCCTCCCAGACTCAGTCCCCCTTTCCCCACTGGCTGCCTCCCCACTCCCCTTCTCAATCCCCGGATCCCCCCCTTCCCCATCACGACTCCCACCCCCACCACCCTCTTCCATAGCCCCCGACCCCATGCTCCCTTGCCCCCTTAACCCTCTCCCCCACGTCATTGCCATCCGTTCAACCAGAGCAGCACTTAGATCCAGAGCCACCACCCTCGCGGCTGCCCTATCAACCCTCGCCAGCTTCCCCACGAACAGAAAAAACCCCTCCCTCTCCTTCCTCCCCACCGTTTCGTACACCTTTATAACCGCTTCCACCGCCGCCGCCCTCCCTTCCGCTCTCTCTGGCGCATTCAGGCAGAGGTACCGCATCAGAGACTCAACCGCAGGGATACACTCCTTTGGCGCTTTCGTGAGAATATCGGATGTGACAAAATCGAGGGCGCGGGACCGCAGCAGCGAGGGGGAAACCAGGCTCGGAGCTTTCGAGCTGTTGCTGCTGGTGGCGGCGACGTCAGCGTGCGTCATGAGGATGTGCGGACCAATGGCCATGAGGATATGAGCGGCTGTGTCGAGCGGTTTGCCATGCTGCGGGTCCGTTAACTGAAGTTAGGGGGGAGTGGATGGACACGGGACGGCAGCGAATCAACTTCAGAGATAGCAGGGCAACAATGATGACACACGAATACCCCTGGAAAGGAGAGAGTCTTCCTGGCATGAATAGCTTACTGTACCACTGATGCGAATATACCTGGAGTAGCATATGGCACGCTTGCATCACTTTTGAGAATTCACACAAGTGATACAAGCATGAATAACTTACTATAGCCCCCACAAGGATATACCTTGAGAAGCATACGGTAGGGAAGTCTCCAGGCTTCTATCGTCCGGCCTCCGCCCACTGAAACTCTCGTCCGATCCGCACCGACGTATCCCTTCCTTCTTCCCTCCACCCGCTGCTGATCGTCTAGAGAAAATCGCGTGGCCTCCACGAGCATCCCCAGCAGGGACTTACGTGTCTCGTTTTGATTCGCCAGTTTCAGAACCTCGAGTGCTTGCGAAAGATAACCCAGCACAGACAGCAGAGTCACGCCTAGCCTGCTCTGAGTCTCGTCGCCACCCGGCTGGTTACCATCTTCGTCCATCATGTCGCCCGTTTCGTCGTCCTCATCACTTCTCAACGACGACTTTCGATGCTTACTTGTACCTTTTCCTTTCCCGTGGTTCTTGTTCCTCCCGCCGTTAGCCTTCGGTGCATCAGTGTCAACACTCGCGGAACCGGAAATTCCCGTTATAACCTGTCGAAGGGCCTGTACCATTGCGCTAAAAGCGAGCGGATTGAAGATGCTATAAACGGGGCAGTTGGGCAGCAGAAACAGGTTGAGGAAAACCGCAGCAGCTGTGAGCCTGACGACGGTAGGCTTCTGAGAAGATTCCATCGTGATGCGGAGAGATTCGACGACGGAGGACGCAGAGACCCCAGTTGATGCGAGCGACTCCCAGATCTGCGAACGAAACGGAGGAAAGGTGAGATTTCTGTTTCACAGTCTCGCATGTCTGACTATGGGAAAAAACGCTCAGAAGAAAAACAGATTCTGGCGAATACTCTGAAATTTGCAAGAAAATCTTCGACAGAAGATCAATGCGGGATTATTTTGAGGCGAAGACAATCGAGGCGACAATAAGATTCGGAGCAAAGAGCTGTAAAAATGTGCAGCGGCGAGGAAAATTAAGCTCCCAGGGTGAACAAGCATGTGACAAGAGAGGGAGAGAATTCGTGCAAGATAGAGAGAAAGAGGCGCACCTCTTGCTCCTGTTCGTCGTGTGTGTAGGACAGCATGCGCTCGAGCAGATTCTCCATTTCTGCGAGAGTCAGCGGCTCTTGAGTGATGTTCTTCTCTCCAGAAACGGAAACTTCGCCAGGACTCCTCGCCATGGCGTGCACAAGCTCGGTGGTCCGCGAACTCATAGCTAGCGACGTCCGCGAAGACATAGCTAGTGATGTCTTAGACTTGAGAAGTCGATTATTCTCACGACTCTTGAACTCGTGACGATCGTGGGTAACTGCTACTCTTGAATTGATCAATGCTGACGCTTAGCACCAAGGCAACCATGAATAATGACAAGTTACCAGCTTTTGCAAAACGAGATGCTTTGCAGATCAAACTTGCGGTTCATACGGTACGAGATGATTTGCAGCCATACGGTAGTGGTAGAAAACGCAGTATCAGTCGACGGACCAGAAGCCATGAGAAGCATGATCAATCTATAGGCTCTGCTGCTGCAGCTTTTGTGGAATTGAGCCTTGCCTTGGGAATTCACTAGCGGAAAGAGCTTGGTCCATGAGAACAGCATTGAGTTGGGTTTACGATTCAGCGGAGCGTGAGTGCCATACCCCAAGAACCGAAGCGTAAACGTTCCGAATCGTGCTCTATGTGTAATGCACCTTCCTAATGTCCCCGCGTTTCGGGATTGTCCTCAACACACCTCAGCTCCATGTCAGAGCATCTCAGTTCAAAATTCCCGCCAGCCTTCTGATCAGTCAGGAAGCGCTCTGACAGCAGCCAATTCACTATATGTTATGCTCCACTAAACCAATACTACTCCAAATTTGACGCTGATCCCTTTACATCCCACCTCTTAAAGGTTATGCGAATTGGATTAGACAGGAATGTAAATTGAGGGTTGTTGGAGTATGAAATGAATAGAGTTTAGCATTCCCGTAGGTGCAGCCGTATCGCACCCGTCATTATCGAAACAGCGCTAGGCGCAGAATCAGATCAGCCCGTATCAAGGGCAGGAAGGTCAACAGTCGCAAGAGTCAACTGTCGCGACTGTTGACCATCTGGACCAACAATTGACTCACCATCGAGGAATGGCAACAAGCGTAACCGTCTATACGGTTACACGCATCGACTCGGTAACAAGAAGAAATGCAATAGTCGGAGTCACTGTAGAATTGCCTGTAAAATAGTTAGAATAATGGAATGTACCAATCAGAGTACATGGCTAGCTAAATCTATTTATTATGTGTTTAATCTATGTTTTAATCAATTTTGTCTTTTACATTCACTATGATCAGAGTTCCTACAAAAGACCTCCGCTACCAAACTCTCTAAGGCATTCCTATCTGTCAAATGTTATAGCCTTTAGTGGGTCATGCTATATGGGGTACAAACAGTTAGGGTTAGGTACTTGTACTCCAACACAATCAATGCAACTCATTCCGCTGTTTCTCAGTTACTAAGATGGTATCAGAGACCCTTTATCTATCCTGACCTCGCCTCCTTTGAGACTGTCTCTGACCTCGCTACCCACCTGCGCTCCCTTGACACTCGCTTCCGCGCTGCTTGCATTGAGGACCAGCTTGCCCTTGCCCCGCCCCCTATGTGGCTCACTATTCACTGGCTAGTCACTCGCCTCCCTGACCGCCTAGCCACAGCCCGCGACGCGCTTCTTCTGAAGCACCCCACTAAGCTTACCATCGATCTTCTTGAGACTGCTCTCTCGAAGATCGAGAGCAACCTCCGCACTGTTGCCTCTGCCTCTTCCGCGCCTCCTCCTCGTCTCTTTAAGGGGTGTGCGGTACCACAGCTTCCCACCTTCTCTGCCTCACTTGCCACCCCCACGTCTTCTGCCTCTGAGGAGACGACGGCTGTTTCTGTCTCTGGCGGGCAGAAACGTGGCATGGCTGGTAAGAGGGGCGGGAAGGGCGGCGGGGGTACTGGAGGTGGTGCGGGTAGTGGCGGTGGCGGTGGAGCAGGTGGTGGGAGTGGTGGTGGGGGTGGCTCAGGACCTGACGGCCCTCCTTTCGACGGTGGAGTTTTCACTGGTGGTGAGGGGTCCCAGCAGCAGCAGCAGTCGACCCCTCTGCAGCTGCCACCGCCTGGACAGCAGCAGCGGCAGGGACAGCAGCAGCGCCCGCCACAGCAGCAGCCTCAGCAGTGGGGCCCTCCGCAGCAGTGGGGCCCTCAGCAGCAGTGGAGGTCTGCGGGTCCCCCGAGCACTGGGCGCAGTGGCGCCCCCTCCAGTCGGGGACCTCGCTCAGCCGGCCGCGACGTTGGTCCCTGTGAGTACTGGATCCTTACGGGTCCTCGTCGGGACTCGTACTGTGGCCGCCCCGACCACTCTGCTGCACGCTGCTTGCTCGTGGTATTGCTGTTTTTGATATGACTATGGATGATGCTAGGTCATATGCCATGTATGCTGATGTTGACTATAGTGCTCATGGATCTGTGTACTTGCCTGTACCTAGCTTAGGATATTTGCCTGTTGCGAGAGTAGGTGCTAGTGTAGGATCTTGTTTAGCTACTAGTACTGGTTCTCCCTCGGCGGACGCCTCTCTCTCCTTCACACTGGACTCCGGAGCGTCGCACTGCTTCTTCCGCGACTGCACGACTCTCTCTCCGCTACCGGCGCCTGTCCCTGTAGCACTGGCCGCTCCCCCTTCGGGACCGGTCATTGCGACTTACGCCACTACACTCCCGTGCCCAGCTGCTCCTTCCGGCTCCCTGACTGGCCTCCACGTTCCTTCGTTCTCTAGGAACCTGGTTGGTGTGGGCACCCTGGCGAGACAGCACGTCGGGGTCTGGGTTGAGCCCTCTGGTGACACCGCGGTCTGTGTGGACGGTGACACGTACGCCCCCTTGGCCACTTTTCGCCAGGAGCCGGGCTCCGGTCTGTACACCCTCCGCACCGACCCCCGTCAGGTTCCCCCGTCCCACCAGGTAGCCGGGTCCAGTCAGGTTACTGTGTCAGGTGTAGTTGCTGCGTCGTGCTCGTGTCGGTCGCTTGCCCACCCCTCCCTCCTCTGGCACCACTGCCTTGGTCACCCTTCCCTCCCTCGTCTCCGCACTATGTCCAGTCAGCGTCTTGTCTTAGGCCTCCCCCGAGTCCTCCCGCCACTCCCGCCGTCCCCAGCTCCTCCGTGCGGTCCTTGTGTCCAGGGTCGGCTACGCGCCACCCCTCACTCCCCCTCCCTTCGTCCGGCCACCGAGCCCTTCGAGACTCTCTACTTAGACGGCTGGGGCCCCGCTCCTCGTCTTGGCCCTCAGCGGGAGAGTTTCTTTCTGGTGGTCGTTGACGACTAATCTCGGTACACCACCGTGTTCCCTTTGGCGAAGAAGTCCGACGTGACTTCTACGCTGATCCGGTGGCTCCTCGCCACCGAGGGCACTCGTGGTCGTCGTGTCAGTTGTCTTCACTCCGACCGTGGGGGTGAGTTTCGCTCCGGCATTCTCGCCAGATTCTGTGCTGATTAGGGCATCACCCAGTCCTGGACTCTTCCAGACTCTCCACAGCAGAATGGGGTTGCTGAGCGCCGCTTAGGCCTGGTCATGGAGATCGCCCGCACCTCCATGATCCACGCCCGCGCGCCCCATTTCCTGTGGCCCTACGCGGCTCGGTACGCCGCTCACCAGCTGAACCTCTGGCCTCGCGTCGCTCGGCCAGGGGCTTCACCGACCAGTCTTTGGACAGGGTCCCCTGGTGTTGCGTCGAGGTTTAGTGTCTGGGGCTGCTTGGCTCTTGTTCGCGACACCTCTACGGACAAG